AGTTCAAAGTCATGCATGGAGGATAGTTGACAGACGCTTTCCAAGTAAGGACTGGAGTTAGACAAGGCTGTTACTTCCTCCCTTTCTCTTCTCGTGGTCTGCTGGATTATGAAAACCTCAACATCTGAGGGGAAACAGGGAGTACAATGAACAGCTCGGAATCAATCAGAAGACTTGGACTTCGCACATGGCCTGGCCCTTACATCCCATATACATCAACAAATGCAGATTAAGACAACTAGTGCAGCAGCAGCCTCTGGATTAGTAGATCTCAACACATACAAAGGAAAAAGAAAGATTCTCAAATACAACACACAGAACACCAACCCAATCACACTTGATAGAGAAACTCTGGAAGAGGTGGAAAGCTTCACGTATCTGGGTAACATCATCGATGAACAAGGAGGATCTGATGCAGACGTAAAGGCGAGGATTGGCAAAGCAAGGACCGAATTCCTACAATCGAAGAACATATGGAACTCAAAACAACTGTCAACTAACTTCAAAGTGAGAATGTTCAATACGAACGTCACGACAGTTCTACTGTATGGAGCTGAAACTTGGAGGACTACCACAATCATCACCAATGAGGTACATGTATTTATAAACAATTGTCTACGTAAGATACTCAATGTTCGTTGGATGGATACCATCAGCAACAGCCTACTGTGGGAGAGAACAAATCAGGTTCCAGCTAAGGAGGAAATTGAGAATAGAAATTGGAAGTGGATGAGACATACATTGAAGAAATCATCAACCTGCACCATGAGGCGATCTCTAACTTGGAATCCCGAAGGGAAATGGAAAAGAGAAAGGCATAAGGACACACTGTGTCGAGAATTGAAAGCAGGCATTAAAAAGGACGAATAGCAACAGGAAAGGACTGTCGAGAACAGAGTTGGATGAAGAATGCTGGTGGGCAGCCTATGCTCCTCCATGAGGGGTAACAGGCGTAAGTAAGTAAGTAACTAAAATATCCATAAGTGGCTCGACTAACAAATCAAATGTATTTCATTTTGACCACTTTCTCACTCGTACAGAAGGAAGTCATAAATCACAAAATGAGAGCAGTGCATAAACGAATAGAATTGCTCCCATTGAGGAATATTCTGATTCTTAATAGGGCTCCAACTTGCATTTCAAATGACGTACAAGCTCGCTAATTAAAAAGAAGAAAACTAAATTTCGTGGAAGTGGCCATAAAACTAGAGAACTACCAACGACTCGAGCTGCAAACACTTACCACTACGCCTTGATCATTAAGATCAGAAGAGCTAGAACTATTTGTTTTATTCAATAGTACAAGGCTCGTTTTGGTAGGGGACCATCAGAATCATTTTTGTTCAAAACGCAATATATTTATTTGAAAATACACTACTATCTTCAAACGGCCATTATTTGCAACCTGGCTTAAAATGTGAATGATTATTTGCAAAATCAGTCTATCAGATATTGCACATGCCTCTCAAAGTATACTTTGGGAATATTCCAAGACTTGGGATATATCCTGTTGAGTTTTACAGTAATTAGTTGTAGATCATTCATAAAAGGTGTGCATACTGATAAGCCAGACCATTTAGTGTACAAAGTAATCATCAGGCGAACTCTTAGATTTGTTAGACAAACTTATGAGCCTACTTATTACACAGGTCCTTCTAATCTACTCCTATACTAACGCAATGTTTTGGAGGTGTTTTTCTACATCCAAATACAAAATATTGCTTTAGGGTTGGTTTGTAACAACGTCTACAATTACAATGAGGAGTAAAGTAGTTAAGTCAGCCGATCAAGTCTTATCAGCCCTATCAGGTTGGTGTTTGGGGAAATCTCGTCACAGATTGAAGGCTCGGATGGTCTTTCTCAACACGAGTCATTGATGTTATAGGCGAGATGTGTCTCAAGCAAAGGACGAGTTTACTAAGAAGCAGTCCGTGCTATTTTGCTTCATGGACATGAAATGCGTCCTATGAAGGTAGATGATATTCATAGGTCATTAGTATTTGACCGCAGATGCCTTCAAAGCTTTGTACACGCGTGTACCACTAAGCATTACCCGGGTTAGACGCCAGGCACCAGGCAGAGAGTCAGTTAGTCAGCTACAACGTAGAACTAGGCACATATATGCATCGGTCCAAGTTGCCATACCTCGTTAGCACAACAAGATAAACACCGGATTCATAGAAACAGTTAACTTAGTGGTGGTAATATATATAAGAAAGGTTGTATATAAGGATATAGTATAGAAAGACAGATATGAAGCAATTTTAATCTCAAGGTTTAAGGGAAGACATTGTGATCGATTCTGAGCCATGTCACACAAAGTCTCCAACCATTAGTTACGATAGTCAGGCCGACCCTAACCAACTAGTCTGCATCTACCAACATGGCTCAGACTAGAAGTTAGTAACTTCAACCACTGATGCCACACTTTGGTTTTGCCGCCCCTAACTCTCTTCCAACCATCACCAATACTAGTCAGCACTGTGTGTCATAGTAATCGGTGTTCAGGCATACGTAACACGTAGCCCAACCGTCTCAGTTGATGAAGATTCATAACCTCATCAACTGATTTACCGTCATTCCCTAATACCCTATGTCTAACCTCACTATTACTTACCCGGTTATCCCAGCAGATGCGAGCAATATTTCTAAGACATCTGTGGTCAAATACTAGTAACCTACGAGTATCTTCTACTCTTAATGGCCATGTTTCACAGCCGTAAAGTAGAACAGAGCGAACTGATGCGCAGTATACTCGTCCCTTAATTGATAGACGGATATCTCGTCTTCGCCATAGGTGACGTAAGTTGGCAAAAGCCAAACGAGCTTTTTGAATCCGTGCTGAGATTTCGTCAGACACCAACACATTAGGGCTGATCACACTTCCAAGATAAGTGAAGTTGTCGACGCGTTCGACTACTTCACTCCCTATCCTTAGTTCGGGTGTTGACGCAGGCCAGTCCTGGAGTAACAATTTACATTTGGATGGGGAGAAACGCATCCCAAACATCCTGGCATTATTACTGAGTTCCAACAGAAGACTCTGCATTTTGTCAGCGTCTTCACCAAACAGGACTATGTCATCTGCGTATTCTAAGTCGCTTAGTGGTCCCCCTGGTAGGAGATCAATTCCTGTAAATTCAGTCGACGAGAGTGTTATTTCCAGCAACAGGTCTATAATTAAGTTAAACAAAAATGGGGATAGTGGACAGCCTTGTCGAACACCACTTGACGTTGTAAAATCAGATGACAGTTCGCTACAAGCTCACACTCGACTGGTAGTGTTCGAGTAGAGAGCCTTCACAACGTTTGTGTATTCTGAGGTACACCTTTCAATGGCAGATACTACCATAGAACCTCTCGGTTTAGAGTCGAGAAGCTATCATTGTCTGACGCTGATAAGTATGCCCGTGTTCTAAAACTTGACGAATATGGGGTCGATACAGCCACGACCAGGTCTGAAGCCAGCCTGATTATCTTGTGTTTGCAGTGCACAGGTCTTAGGCGCCCGATAATTATTGAGGCTAGTATTTTAGATGCTATATTAGTCAAACTAATCCCTCTATGGTTATTACAGGATGATCTTGACCCCTTCTTATAAATTGGGACAATAAGTGATTGTGACCAGTCAGATGGGATTACGTCAAACTCCCCGATTTTAGCTAAAATATTAGTCAACCCAATCGCTAGAATTGGACCACCATACTTAAAGACCTCTGGAGTCTATACATCTGGACCAGCTACTCTTCCTCGTTTCAGATAAGCTGTAGCCTTTTGAACTTCAACTAGAGTCGAGGGACCTACTTCAATGTCCCATTCAGACTGTCTGGGAATGGTGGGTAACTGTAGAGTAGCTGAAGTGCAGCTACACTGTTCTCTAAAGTGTTCCGCGCATCATTCTGAACGTCTGAGCTGAGAGCAGATAAGAGTTGACTTTTTTCGAGATTGTCTTGCTTATACTTGACTTGTTAATTCCGGTTTCTCTTATTAGCTGAAGAGTTTTCTGGTGTTGTCTATACTCGCTGCCTATTCCATCTCTTATGCTTTCGTTACCCACCAGGTAGAGATGGGCAAATCGGTTGACGAGGTATCAAACTTCCATCTACTTCGATTATTGGAAAAGTCCAACTATCGCCAGCATAGACGTGAGACGTTTGTTGCTGCTGGATGAAGTCGAATGAGAGTTATGGAACCAAACTAGGATGCAGGACCAGTCCATGAATTTAGTGATTAACATTAAGCGTATCGGGAGATCCAAGGTAACCAGTTGGTGTTTGTGAGATCACCGCAACTAGGGTTTGGAAACCTTGAGAAAATAGCTTGGAATCGACCACAATGGGACATATGAATTCATTAAGACCTTGAGTTTAGTGACCGCTTGCTATCTAGTCTGTGATTTAACTCTTTTTTGAATTGTACTGCCCGTATCTCATCTTTTCTACGAATACGGATAATGTTATAATCCAAATACTGCAGCCTCTAGCCCTACTGGTTCGATGTCGTAACTTGAGTCGACGAACATGTACCTAGTTCTACGTTTCTCATGACTGAGTTGAAGGGGAACAAACTAAATTCAAGAACAGTAGTGATGGTAGGTCCACCGATGAGGCATTAAAGCGTTAGTAACTTATACAGCTGAAAGATTACCGACCTCTCCCCCGTCGCCGCTTATCTAGAATCACAGCACTAACACAGAGACATTCTAGAGGAGACTAAGTCAAAAAACAAGTTCTTGATGTTATTTATTACTGCTTTTGAGAGTGAGGTGTAAGTGAATGTTCTAGTTGGTCAGTCGTAAGTAACATATAATCCGGTACATGAGTGCGTTGATTAATGATAGGACACAGTCGTGTTCGATCCCCCAAGATCGTATCTGGGCTTAGTCAGGGCACATTTTTCATTGTTTTGAATTCATTCATCCTTATGAATCTACAGTTGATAAACATATACAGATTTTCTCTACAATACATTTAGAAACAGCGTGGGAACATAAAGAAAACGATACATCCAACAAATTTTATTGATATACCAGAATAGAACTAGAGTTTGTTAAAAGCAGCTATATCAACTGACTGGACAAAATCTTCAAACTTCGTTATTTCTTCTTCTAACATATCAGTGCTAACCTGAAAAAAAGACATCAATATTCTACTTTACAAACTCAAGAATTCTGAGAATAAAATTTTAATTAAACTTATAGATTAAATTAATGGTTTTGACAAACATTTGACTGAGAATGAATACCTTATCATCTTCAATAACACATGCAATTTGGAGTTTCTTAATCCCATAGGCCAAAGGGATAAGTTTGGATGCACCCCATAACAGCCCATCAGTTTGAATACTACGGACAGCTTTTTCCATCTCCGCCATATCAGTGTCGTCGCCCCATGGTTTTACATCAAAGATAACAGTAGACTTCGCAACAGGAATATTTTTAGTTGCTTTTTTTGCTTCGTAGGCAGCCTGGCGCTCACTTCTTAGTTTTTCATACTCTTCATCATCATCAGAGACGAATAAATCAAACTCGTCGCTTGCAGCAGGCTGAGTACATTTAGCTGATAAAGAAGGAAATGCAATTTAAGCCCCCGAACTTTTGATTACCTGGTTCAGGATTAGCGGATTCCGGTGCAGCAGGAAACTTTTTTCGCTCCGCACCAAAGGAATCAATATGTCTGTACCAGCGTGAAATATTGCCAAAATCTGATAACGATGACTTTTCAAGGGCTATAAACGTTGAAACATCTGCTTGAGTAGGCTGAAACCTACAAAAATATTATCATAAAATGGATTATGGAGCATGTTTATTAATAATAATGTTAACGCTTTTGTTAAACTCACAAACCTGTTTGCGACACTTACCAGAACGTCATGATTTTGATAAATGTATGCTATTTCTCCCAAATATCAACCCATTTATACGTAGGACTAATATACTAGGTAGTAATTTGGAGTTCTCACTAGCACTATCAAACAAAATATATAAGTGAACTGAGTTCATTTATTGAGTATAAAAACTAGCGCTGGCAATATTCCATTCATTGACAATAAAAAACTACGTAAACAGTGAACACTGAAAAGAAACGTCCGCTTGCCAAATTAGATGGAGTCTACAGCAACGTTTCCCGAGTGATGTTACTACATTATTCAACTGCTGGAAAAAAACCAACTGCATGACGCGCTACATCGAAATCTTTACCGTAATAGGTTGTTGCTGTAGCTTATAAAGACATTATTAATAATTATGGGGCGAACTAATTCCCAACATTTCTACTGTTGGTGGACGTCAAGATAAACTAGGTTTTGGAACGAAATGAATGTAGTACATAAGTAGTTTGGATTGTTGCTTGGCAGAAGGAATTTGTTCCAAGTAGACTAAGAAGTGACAAGCAATCTACACAACTTAAGTTCGATGAAGCTATAACTTAAGGACGACTTTGAGCTTTCACCACCAACTGAGGTCGGAATAGGATTATACGTCGGTGCGAGGATGGGGATTAGGACTGAGTTAGAAGTTAGCATTAAGGGAAAAAAATTAGTTTTCACGACGGACTAGCACCACTCATAATCCCATGTTTTTTTCGCTACATAGATGAACCCAAGGTTTGTAGTTTTAATTCAGATAGATTTGTTCATAAACGATGGTCAGACCATGACTTTTAGAATGTATTTGGGATAGGAACCGGTCAACATTTAACATAACAAAATGGGAGTAAGCCCATGACAAGATGGTTTACGGAGCATGTATTTGAAGAAAAAATGCGAACTCAAGACTCAGACACTTTACAGGAGTTTAATATACCAATAAGCATGTACGCAGAACCACTGGGTGAATTTATTACAACACCGTACCTACACAAAATCTACACTAACCCTGATATATAACTTCTGGTAAGCAGATAATCATCTAGCTTCTTCAGGGCCGAAGCAGTTTTCAAGTCACCAAAGTCAATCATTCGGTAGCGTGTGTAAATTCTACCCTGGCGCCTGTAAGGACACTTGGTAGAGGATAAAAACACAAAGTGATCAAACAATTTTAGTAATTTTTGACGTCAACATCAGAAACGCCACTGTATTTAAAGATATAAGGTGAACGGCAGCACACCAATTTACATACTTACATCTGTTGTCACTCAAGAAGCAAAGGCTGCCGACCTCGATTCGATAACTTATTCTCTCTATAGCTCTCTTTCTCATTGTTTCTAAGTGCTACTCATTCCCAAAGTGTCTGCCCCCGATTCTCAAAGTAATATGTTTCTTTGTCTGCCTCTTTTCTTTATGTCTTGGGTATCTTAAGTAAAGGCCTGCTTCGTGGCGTAGTCTGATGTTACCCTCAATATGTCCTCTCCTCCAACAGCGTATTTTCCAAAGTTCCTATTCAACTGAATATTGGTTTGTTATATGCCACTGTAAGTTGTTTCTGCTTGTTCTTAGTTGCCCGAACTGGAGTACCTTGCGTACACCATCGAGTAAACTGGTTTGATGTTGATTTTAGTAGTTCTCCAAGTTGCAGCCCCGAACAATAGAACTGTTTTGACGTTCGTATTGTCTTCTGAAAGTATTTTTAAGTCCGTAACTGGGACTGCCAGTAATTGATATTTAAGATATGAAACTCGATATCAGTTTAGCTTGTGAATCGATCGAGATTCAATGTTACCTGTACGAATTTCTTGAGGCAGAGAAATAGGTTAAGCCTGGAGAGCGATGGGGTACAAACATTCAATTTTTGTAAGTACTGATATGAGAGACCCAAGAACAACGTCTAAAACAAAAACAATTTGCTACTTACTGATCATACTGAATGGTCTGGAAAAATTACAGGGCATTCTCTCAAAAATGTGGCTAGCAGCGGTTAATAGCAATTTACTTGATAGGCTGAGGAGGTCTTAGTTATATGGCAACAATGTATTCTGGAGTAAGTCCAGGCTATCCTTGAAGAACTCGGTAAAGGCTCCTTAACGGATAACTGCATGATATGCCTTACCAATGATTTCCAGCTGTCTTCACACATTTTATTTGTTATGGTGGTATTTGTAGGAAATATTAAAAATAAGTAGTGAAGCTTTTGTATATATGTATACTATAGTTTTTGCAGCGAAAACCTTTACTGTGGCAAGTTTCTGCACTAAATGGAATGCGCTATATCGTATGACGGATCTATCAGAGAGATTTTTCGGTGACGAATATCTAAAATCTACTTTTGCCATAGAAATTTGTTTTTTGGAGGTCCCTTAAGAGGTTAAAGTTGAATTCCGTTGCTTTCAGCTTTTCAAATACGTTAAGTGAAACGGTTTCGTCAAACTGCTGAATCTTCAAAATAATGACAAGACTGACGGATGACATGGTGTGCTAGACGCATAAATTTGGCTGGTCATTGTATTTAGCATCGTTTAATTTGTTAGGACCTATTACTGCGTTCGCAATCGCACATTTTCTTGCTTCACCATATCGTCTTGAGTAAAAGTTCAGTAGATTGGTTAACCTTTGTCAGTGCTTATAGTATGTGTACCTATGAAAATTGATTGTAACATTTATTCGAATGGACTTTGAGATCTTACCCTAATATGCTTAAATAGTGTCTTTTTGTAAATATTTTCATATTATTGAATCAGTGTTGTCGATATATTTTACCTATTCTGGTTATCATTAAGAGTTAGATGAATAAGATTTCGAGATTAATTGCAAGTGATCCAAGGATGGAAATCTTTTTCAATCGTTGTTACCTTCCACACTAGGAAACTCGTAGGAACACAAAATGTTCACGTACTGTGTGCTATCTTTTGGTTTATTGTCATGGAGTTGTATATAAGTCAACCTACACTAAATTCAGTGGTCACAACGTGCCACCAAGCGAAATTTATATTTAACAGGACCTAATTCTGGTTAGTGTAAATAGTTTCTGTTTTCATGGACGTAAGATCGTAAAGGGAACAAGTTGAGGAATTGATGTTACGTAGTGACCACGAATTTCAGTACATGAGTACCATCATAGTTAAAGTTTGATATGTATGTAAATACATAATTAGTCGTAAAATTTGCAGACCTTTGAGTTTCATTATTACCTTCCATAGCGGCAGTGTTAACAGTCTTTAAGGTAGGAGTAAGTCCTTTTCGAGTTTAGGCTCTCCAATGTTTACATTTTAATGTTCATGTTCAAAATTTTATTCGGTTTGGCTGTAGTTAGGAGTAATTCGTGTGCTAGATCAATGAATTGTGAAATGATATACCTTACCAATAAACACTTTTAGCTGAAAAGTCTTATTTATTGAGGAAACCAAATATATTTTCCTTCAACAAAATATGATGATCCAATGATAATAAGCCAATCTTCAATGATTTCCGACAGACTTGATGTTCTAATTAATAACACATCACATGGAGAACTTAATACTTGGCCTCTTTGAATGTCATTCAAAACAAAGTACAACCCATAAGATAGCCTGCAATCCTCCTTTGAGACAGTCCCATATATTTAACTTTTAAGTAAAGCACTTATAAACTATGTAAGGACTTATGAAGAAGTGACGCCTATCCTAGACAGTTACTGTTTATGTTATATACAGATTAGTATGAACTATGTGTCTTACGGACTATCTATCAGATTCCATTGTTAGAAGATATGCAAACAAGTGCAGCTGCAAGTAAAATGATTAGGACAGTGCTTTCACTACCATCCTCAGTATACACTGTCAGCATGTAAATATGGTCCTTGATTAAAGCAATATTCATACCGACCACAAACGTAGGAGAGCCTAACATCATAAAAGGAGGGAGGGTGGCGTTACTGACCAGTAAACATGATGGTGGGGAGATAACCTCAATTCACCCGTGTCTGTGGTGCAGAACATATTAATTACGGCTCCTTATGTCTAGTGGGATGTCACGAACCAACGGTATTGATGCGAAATTATTCATGCAAAATACCACTTTAAATCATGTTACAAAAAAACTTGGTTCCACTTCCTACCGAGTAATCCTATTACAAGCAAACTAGACAATTGGCTAAAAACGAAGCCCACTCTATACCCTATAAAATCTAAAAACAAAAAAGAGTTGAAACAGCTTCTAAAGTAAAGGAGACAGTCATTTGTATCGGAATACTGTTTTCAGCACTTTATTTTATAATTACACAATTCCATAATTCCTTCTGAACTACCTTCATTTATACAGTTCCTTATCCACTCATACCTTGCCCACACTTATTTTTCTTTAACACATTAGTATGTTCTTACCTAGTAAATACTACAGTAACAGACAAATAGACTAAATGGTTATACCTTAACTATTCCTCCATGAATATTGTGTGCTCTGCTTTTCGTCCTTCCTTTTCCTTACACCTTTTTCAGCCTCCTGCAGATACTCCACCGAAAACAGATATGGCACGGGTGACTTCGCCCTACACCTTTACTAAAGCTTTCGATATTCTGGAGGGATATAAGTTCGAAACTTCGAAAAGCCCCCAACTTCGCATGTATCTATTCTTGACCATCAGTTGTATGTTGCAACGCTACCTCCATAAAGTGCGCCAAGTGTAATATTGACATGTTTCTTACGAAATCCGTTTACATTCATATCTTATGAAATATCAACCCAGCTGAGTAATTTTCAACAGTGAAAATTGTAACTTCTTTAACAATTTGATCTTGCCTGTAAACCGGTATGCCTCATGTAACAATCTGTTATTTGAGAATAAATTATTATTATTAATATAAAGTAACTTAATACACGAGTGATTAAATAGTAAGATAGGATGCACGGAACATTTCGTTGACCACAGGCGGATTACACCATGCACTTACATAATGACTTCAAATGAAACCTTCGTAAATATTCAAACCACTTTCAAAATACCGGTTTACTATTCCGTATAGCTCCAGTTATGGGGAGAAAAAAGTTAATATTTTTGAATAATGTGTTGCATGTAATCTTTAAGACAGTAAGTCAATCTGGTTCAAAGTTGCTAAAACTGATTGTGCAGCACTTTTTAGTCCAAATGACATCCTCAATAACTCACACGAACCGAACGGTGTGATTATGGCTGATTTTCGATATACACTCGAGCCAACAGAAATCGACGACATACTCACACCATGTCCAGCCCAAAAAACTTCTTTTCCATGTAAATTCAAAGAATAACTATGAAAATGAGAAATAAGGCATAACTCTGGAGCAGTCTGATTATTCACAACGCAGACAAAAGCAAAATGGCCATGTAGACCTGAAGGTCTCACATGAGACTGAGGGTTTGCCGTTGATGTTGTGGTTAGTTTGGCATTGCTTTGGCATGTTACATTATGCGATAACTCTGGATAACTTTACTGATCGCAGTCGGCCTTGTGTCAGCGACGGATCTTTCAAATGTCTGCCCTATCAATTTGTTGGTAGGTGATTTGCCTACCAAGATGATAACGGGTAAGAGGGAATCAGGGTTCGATTCCGGAGAGGGAGCCTGAGAAATGACTATCCCATCGAAGGACGGCTGCAGGTACGAAAATTACTCACTCCTGGCACGTGGAGGTAGTTATGTGGGAAAGCAATCCTTACAACGTCAACGATCAAAAGTGCACAGGCACGTAGCCGCCCTTATTGGCACTTTCGCTACGCCTGATGCTAGCTTCGTTCACGTTCATACAGACATTGTACGACCATTGCCACCATCGCATGAGTATGATCACATACGTACATTGATCGTTTCACAAGATGGCCCGAATCTATTCCTTTCACGTCTATTACGGCGGAGACAGTTGCTCACCGCTTCGTTGAATGATGGATAGCTTTGTACGGTTGTTCGTCGACTGTCACGACTGACCGAGGACAACAATTTGAGTCCGCATTATTCTCCTCACTAACACGGCTTCCTGGTAGAGAACGCATACGCACTACCGCCTACCACCCAGCATCAAACGGTTGCATCGCCAACTTAAAAGTGCTCTTCGAGCACATGAGAACGACAATTGGTACGAAACCTTACCGCTCGTTCTCCTGGGTATCAGAGGGAGCTTAAAGGCAGATATTCAATGTTCCGCCGCTGAACTTGTTTACGGTGCGAGATTGCGTCTGCCTGGGGAATTTTTCACACCACGGAGCAGCATTAAGTTCGGCGAATCAGAATACGTCCAACGACTGTCTGCATTCATGCGAACACTGACTCTCGTGTCAACTCGTATACAACATCAACAGGTCGATCACCCCCGGGAGTTATCTACCTGTTCACATGTTTTCATACATGTAGATTCGGTAAGCAAACCTCTACAACAGCCTCACGAAGGATCTTTTCACGTGATTTCCCGTCACGAAAAGACCTTGAAGGTTGATCGACATGGCCGCGTCGAAATAGTCAGCATTGATCGTCTCAATCCAGCATACGTCGATGACAGTGCTCTACTTGATAAGCCGAGATCCAATGCTAGACCCATCAAATCTCCTAGCGGGATCTCTACATCTACTTCGGATCCCACGCTAGATGATTCAGAGACTTCATTCTCACGTCCCAGTCAACAGCACGTGTCATCTGCCCCGTCTACGTACGAGACTTCCGTCTCACGTCCAGACATGCAGACTACACCGCCCTTGACTGCGGGTGAGATTGCAAGCTCACGAGGTTCAAACGAGACTACCATCTCACGTTCCGGTCGCCGAGTACACTTACTCGTACGCTTTCGCGACTAACCTCATAACCAGCAGCGGATACAGTATAGGACCTCACCCCTATACTACACTCGCGCTACACTTTTCCCTTTTTCCGTCATTTTTCTTTTGTTTACTCCGAGCCTACGCCTCCGACCATCGCCGTATCGGTATCGTCGACCTCAATCAATCTTGATGAAAGCTGGCCTGCACATCCATGCTCTAGTTAACGCACTCAGTCGATCTCTCTTGCTCCAAATACGTATGGTATACATTTGGCCCCGAACTTGGTTATTCTGGTCACATTTAGCTCCTTGGCTCAATCTGGTTTCGTCCTACGTCTGCAGAGTTTCTGGTCCGGATCTCTACGAACGCAACCTTTAGATTCTGGATACAAACCATTCTGGTATAGCATGCTAACCCAAGCAATCAATATTGTACGTTCCTCCTGGTACCGTTCTACGTCAAAGACCTTTGGCGGCAACTCGAGGATAAACGATCGCTTCCTGTTCTGCCAACGCCTTCGTCCTACAATTGAACGATCAGTCCCACGAACGAAACCGCTACGTATCGAGAGTGTAAACCTTTTCTAGCGAGGGGCTCCTGTAGTGACCGGCCTGTCTCGATAATAACACGATTGGAACAATAGAAACAATTATTATTATTGTAACCGATTATACCAGCGATTGTTTTACTGTATTCGTTTAACTGTATCAGACTCACTTCTTGTTCCGCTATCCGCCTTGTTCTGTTCAAACTTTCTTACGCTATGCCCATTTTGTCTGTACTCGTTGGCACGTCTCGGTATTCTTTCGATGCCACGAGATCGCCAATAAATATACTTTATCCAGACTAATTAAAGCCTTCTGGTTTGCAAGTTATCAAAGGAATCAAGTCGTTTCTCGGCAAGTAATCGTATTGTAGTAGTGATCATAGCCCATCCTCGACTCGACACTCACTACAAAATCATCATGCATGAAAGTCGACTAACCGATGGTCCATCTCAGTGTTATTTTGCCTTTAACAGCCATCGAAGTGCCGGGGCCACGTTTAGACATTCATTAAAAGTTCGGATGCTTACTCCATAGATTTTTCGCTGCCAACTAACACCGCCGGTAATGCTTAAAGGTTAGATTAAGGGATTAGAACTTAAGTTGCAGTTACGAGATGGTTTTAAAAATTAGGGTCAATGTTTTCGTCATGAAATGATATCATCTATAATGCAACGTTTGTCACTGTTCTGTTTACGAACGTATGAAACTTGGGACTGGAATTAGAAGTGAAGATTACGGTGGGTGAATAATATATAGTCTCCCAAAGCACTCTTAACTACGTTTAGAATCACATTAAATGCTTCAGGACACATTATGCCGATGCAGCAAGTACGTTTTGTAGTTAATTTGAGACGATTTTGATTTCTTTTTCTGGTTACATGATAGAGGAATACTTTGATTAGTTCGACACCTTAACTAAGTCGATTTTTGAAAAGACAGTTGTACCTTACAAGGTAGCTGTCAAATCGTGAATGTGAGGCAACGGGTAACGATCGGGAATGGTTTTAGCATTCAGACGCCGATAATCACCAGTTGGACGCCAATCATTGTTGTCCTTTTTAGGGACCATGTGCGATGGACATGACCATGGACTATTTGACGGTCGAATTATTCCTAAGTCCATCACGTGGTTGAATTGGTTTTTAGCCAACCTAAGCTTTTCGGGAGCCAGTCGTCGTGCTTTTGAGAATAAAGGTGGTCCTGTGGTCGAGATGTGATGTGTAACATTACTGGTTACACAAGGCAATTTCGGTTGTGGTTGATATATCCTGGAGTATTTATCGAGTAGTGATTGATGTAGGGGGTCTATGGCGTGCTTAATTGTGACTGGGGATAATCTGCAACCAGAAAAAGGAGTTAAGCAGACAGATAACTTAGTGTTTGTGTCTACTAACCTTCGTGATCGTGTGTCGATGAGTAGATTGTGGTATTGTAGCAGGTCCATACCAATGGTTGGGATAGAAACATCTGCAACCACGAAAATCCAGTATATGGGTTTGCGTAAACCCACGTTAAGGTAGACGTACCTTTTACCGTACGTCGCGATCGGTTTTCCGTTCGCCGCCTGTAAACAGACTCGTGAAGTCTGTCACTAAAGTTCACGGGAAGAACGGTAACGTATGCGCCGCTGTCGACCAGATAGCGAACTTTCGTTGTCACATCCGTGACGTATAAGAGGCGGATATGTTCGCCGGCTATGGTTGCCGTTAACGCGTGCCGGCTTGGTAGTCTCCCGAATTCTTATTTGTGTCGGTAGCCTTAAAAATCGGGTAATTGCAGGGCTTCCTGCAATTTCTAGACGTTTTGCCGTACTGGTTATGATACCAGCACGAGTCGGGATTATCTGTCTTTTGAACACGAGGGACAGATCGCTTACGTGAAGCACATCTTCGCGCGTTTCTTGACCGACTACGGTCATTACAAAATCTACGATATCTGGTGAGTGTGTGACATAATTCGTTAATGTCGTTCGGGGTCGTTTGAGGCTTTTCTTTGACCGAAAAGACCTCGGCGCTACTGGATTTGGTAATTTCTAAAATTTGATCGGCAGATGCAGCTAGTTCGTCTACGGTGTTGTTTTGGAACGAGACAAGAACTGCCTGCACCTGTTTTGGAAGCTTGGATAAGAAAAAATGTTCGACTAGGCCTTCGTCGAAGGTTCTTTGACCTGTCACTTCTCTCATCCTAAGCAACATATCTGTAGCAGAACCATGTTGCAGGTCGATGTTATTGAGGAGTTGGTCTAACCTTTGTTGGTCGGTTAGATCTCCACGTCTCAGAATCGCTCGCTTAAGCGTTTCCTAAGGTTCTGAAACATCACTAGTAAACATACTAAGTGTTACGTACCTGTTAAATTCGCGCGGTAACGCCTTAACTACCGCGAGGAATTGCGTGCGCGAGTCCGTGATTCCGTGCCCGCGAAAGCCAGCTTCTGCGTATCAGAACCAGGATTCGATAATGTCAGGCCAAAAAGACGTTAACTGAATCGGAGGTGGAGGAACAGATTGTAACTTGAAAACCTTAGGTGTCTGTTCCGTCATAATATTATTAGGACGAGAAATATGTAATTAAAATATATCCGAAAAAAAGGTATATCACAATGTATATAAATCAAATACGGAGGAACAATTAATAATGAAATTCCAAAAGGGAACAGACTCACAGTTTATGCGCTTGGTGTACCAGATCACGTAGGGCTCACCACTGAAGATACGACTAGTATTCTAGTTTGACAACTAGCAAGCAGTAACACCTTCTATATTCGAAGCTTTCCCCAACCAATCGAAATCAGAAGTCAGATGAGAAGAGATCGGAAAGATATATTTGGTACGTTATCAATATATCGAGAAGCGTTTGCTCTAATCTGGCTAGTAAACGTAGGAGCTGTGTCCCACGCTGGTTCGTAACGTGATCTGGTACGGATGCATGACCGGAAGCCTTCACTTAAACAAGTCCACTTAAACAAATGTGGCTAGCATCGAATGTCGAACACTTAATGAGCTATTGATTTTGGGGAATTCTTTACCGCTACAAGTTAAAGTAGCCACTAAAATACTGTATGGACATAAGGAAGTCTCTTGCCAAGTCAAAAATTCACAATAACGTGCGAAAAAGCTGAGCATTCTTGGTAATGAGAACATGAAAGCTAATTGATCTGAGGATTCCTCGTATGCCACAGAATCGGGCAGTACTTATATCCACGTATGATCTACGAAATCGACGATCTTGAAGAGAATCTGAATCTTCAACGAAAAAGTATGGCTCATAAAAACATATATCAACTGCTTTCCTATTTTCTTCTCGAATCCTATCCATAACTCAAATAGCTTGGAGATTGAAATTAGCATATCTCATTGTTTTTGTACATTAAAGTTTAGTGCAAACTTTGAAATGCACTCAAAATTACCGAGTTCGGTAGGTTCACTGGTATGCAGTCGGTGTACAGTGTATTCATATAGCTTTACAAACATACCTAAAATGTAGATCACTACCTCCAAAAAATAATATTGTAAACTTATCCTTCCTAGATCTTGGGCCCCAGTATCTCTGCATATATGTTTGTATATTCGCATATATATGAAGGAATACAGGGACAGAAGAACATAAATGGTAGAACTTTTAATTGATGAAATCGTAACTTACTAACTACCTCTCAGCAGCCCTCAAGTGGCTTTGAGAAAAATCCTACTTCTCACTAGGGTCAAAAGAAGGTTATAAATTAGTGTGAAGAACTAGGATTAGGATTAAGTTACAGTTAGGGCTAGGGGTTAAAGTTAGGGTTTTCATCACATATCGACGCTTTATAATTCCCACATGTATTTTAACTGTGTGGACAAGCGAACTTAGTGCCGAAATCCAAGACTTGCTATCTTTAATTCCATAATTTTGTCCACAAATTATAGTCTCGCCATATCTCGAGTGATTGACTTAAAAGTCATTACTCACCAAAAAGTTAGTTGAGTCTAGTTCTAGAAAACCTTCTAAACCTCTCCGCAAGCTTACTGCTCTGGAATCCACGGAAAGTTAGGACATCTTAGGTTCATAATTATCATTAGTTAATTTAAGTGCTGTAATTTACTGAGTCTTTTTGTCGGGGAAGTAAGTTTACTTTAGTTAGTCTATCACCACACAAAGTTTACAAATTCAAAGGACTAAATAAATTGCGACTTTTTAAAATATCGCCATCCGGCTTATGCTCGCTAGCACGTATTTGACCAGCGACTGAAGTAACTCACCTTCAGGCTGAAATCACTCCATCTACGAGACAGGTAAAAACGGAAATCAGCATAAGTAAAAAGCTGCTGAGATCATCCGTACTCAATTATATCTAAACAATTAGTGTTAAACCTATCCACAACTCTCGAAGTAATCAGCTTTCCGTAGTGAGAAACGGAAAGAAAATAATCTTTATTAGCTAAAATCTGCTCTGCCGTAGAGATCGAGTTTTGTCTTTCCTGTCTAAGCAAAACGAAAATCCGAACAACAATGGCTTCATTAAATTACCATTCAGCAATATTTGACCAAATATCTACAAAAGTTGGTCACCAACGTTTGGACCTGTTGTTTTTTGGTAGCTTGCAACTAAACTACGTCAATACGTCTATCGTTTCTTTATGTACCAGGTACTTCGAGTGGTTTTGTAGAGCAAGTAGTATTCAACTGCTTTAGCGACACACCAAACAGTATCACTTACTATGGGAATTTTATATGCTTGTCCCGATACTATTTGTGTATAGATCTCATTTAGGGTACTTGCTTTGTTTGAGGGTAGATTGCATTTATTATCACCAAGCTCTGACAATCAAGAGTATTTCCCTGGAATTGTTGGTCAAATTATCACCGCTCCCATCTGAAAATATTGTTTCTCTCAACATTGAAGTGTATTTCCAAGGAGCGTTCACTAGGTAGTTAAGGCTCTCTGATTTCAACCTTTGGATTATAAATTCAAATTTTGACTGAATTACCACAGTTTAGGCACTCAAATAGCTTCGCTTACTTTGAAACATCAATGATTGGCTCAAAGCCCAACACACATACTTGATTTACTGTTAGCAATTACTCAGCTCCTTCTGCCCGGTTAGTTCTTTTCTATATAAGCAATAGTTTCTGTCTTCTTACTGGTTCTTCATTAATAAGTATATTTCTGTATGTACAAAACATGTTTCTATGCATAATATGCTAATCTTTTCAATATACAATGTCATATATATCTGACCAGTGTTTCACTGTTATAGAATTAGCTGGCTATAGTAGTACTGTAACTAATCTGTAAGTATTAAAATAACACAATAGTTAGAAACATCCAGTTATAATGTCGAAACTTTAGTTTTTAAACCAACATTTTTTGGTTACAAATCCACAGACTATTTTAATAAACTGGCCAAATTTTTCAATTATTTTAACTGCTGCTTCATGTTGAGTTAGAGCTGATCAGCACCCATTATACTCCTCATCAAACTAACCTTATGATAAATTGATATCCACTTGGTACGTCATAGGTAACAGAAATTACTTCAAAAAATACACTCGGGAATTGCGTACTGTGTTTCTTTCAAAACTGGTAAACACCACCTTTTAGTTAAGACGCAACTTTCCATAATATTCGTATTTATTTACAGCACATATCATCAAGATCGCTCGTTATCTTGTCGCAAGAAATACAAAATAAATCGGAAAAGTCCTAGCAGTGGTTAAAAACCAGTTCATCAAATTATTGACTGATGGCCTAAGCTATCTCATGGGTGCAGACGTATTAGTTGATTGACAATACTTTTAAGAAATGATTGAGGACGTTGAATTACAGAGCACTTAGTCAGTTGTAGTAGTCCGAATGTGTTTATTCCTTGTCTTTGGTTAATCGTTGAGTTAATTATCTGTTAGCGAGATATAGATTAAATTAAAGCGTACCGCATACAGGATTGTTTTTTGGCACGTTGATTGTCCCATTCCTAGCTAGTTTGCGCTAGTATTTAATTGGAGATGAGAATATTCTCGTATAAAATCATAGACTTACTAACGTTCCTCTTACTGTTATTCATTCTCATTCAATGTAGTTTATTTGGAATGTAATTACGAACCTGTCTAAGCCCTGTTCTACTTTTGGAGACTGGTTAAATGAGTGTCTGAAAAATACCAAATACTAAGGGTTGGAGGGTCTACCTAGGAGAGTTGGAAAACCCTAATTCCAAACCAGTAATGGTTATGGGCTCCAGTATCCTGATGAAACAAATGCCGTATGAACCAATCGTCGGTCACCGGCTACCATGGGACTGCATCTCCTTACGATGCTCCACTACCTTGTGGATTAGGCCTTTAGGTCAAAGACCCGGAGTATGGCCCCCTAAGAAAATCACATGCTTCGGCCTAGACACCCGGGCAGTATCATAGCTCTCACATAATCAAATGAAATGACACTTTTTGTGTGGCGCATATATATCTGGTGCCTGTTTGTACCAATATTTATGTGTTCAGATAAAAATAACAATAATAATAAGGGTCGGATAATAAAGGACTTAACGGTATCATTCATAACTTATTTTTATCTCATGTTTTCCTTTTAAACGATTTCTAATGTGTATTTTTCCATCTCATTTCATATCAATTCCTGTGCATTAATTATTATTTTGTTGATTTCCTCTCTGTGTGTTAGTATAAGATGTAGGAACTTCAAATAAATGCATAGTTGTGCCAAATCTTACTATGTTATTTATTATTTATTTAAACAAATAAATATTGGTACAAGGAAACACCAAATAAATATGCGCCGCACAAATCTCATTTGATTTGTGTGGGGGCTGTGATGGTGACCAGGTGCCCGAACTGAAGCAGGTAGTTTTCTTAGGGGGATACATCCGGAGACTTTGACCTAAAGATCTGATCCACAAGGCAGTGGAGCATCTTAAGGAGATGCAGTCCCATGGTAGCCGGTGACCAACGATTGATTCATACGCCATTTGTTCCATCAGGATACTGGAGATCAACTCCCCTAGGTGAACTTTCCCTGTCCACCGGTGAGGTTAAAGCGCCGGACATTCGCTTTTCGTCCTCTCAATTTCGTAAACAACACCCGTGGTGCGAGAAGGCAGTGAGTAGGACTTCCCTGTCAGAGGCTATATATTTGCGTGGCCATATGAGAGCATTTGGAGAGGGAGAGCGGACTCTCACCACTCTCGACCGTACCAGGGCATTTCGGGGCAATCTTATTATAACCGACTAGGAGCTAAACTCGTTGATTTTACGGTCACTTGTTTAAATTTTGTCACGATCCTGTTATTATTCTAACGTATACACATGATTGAATCTACAAGTTATCCTAAACACTAACTATAAAGGAATTCCCATTTAAACTTCCTATCGAGGTAGCACCTTAACAAATTTAAACAAGCTTTTCACAATCAAAAGTTTCATTAATATGGTTGTTTTAAAGTTATTAATTAGCCAGTTTTACAGTATTTTTAAATGTGTCATGTTTTTTTTTGTTGTTTATAGGCTCAGACTAATTTTTTTAAAAATTATGATATGTTGTTTGTTGCTTTTAACGAATTTAGTTTTTCTGCTTTATACACAATATTATTGTAACTGGGAAGTATTGGTTGGTTTATCAAATTATCAATGTTTTTCTTACATAGACTTATTTTACAGATTGTCGACATTTCAAAAATGGCGTCTGTAACTGTGGCCAATTTACATGTAAAATGTAGAAATTCTCCATACCCTCGTACTTCTGACATACAAAGATATCCTGTTCCGGATGATAAAGTCAGTTGGAGTGTATCTTGGAGTGAATATCATCCGGTAGCGTACACAGCTCCAGGAATATCTAAAAAGCCATGGGCTGATCCAGATAACCAGTTGAGTATTATTTAATATTATTATTCCTCAAATTACTGTTTCTCTTGGCTGTGTCTTCTATTCATTAGTCTTTTTCACTATTTAAACTACTATTACTTCAAATTCTTCAATTAATCTTGTTACTTTGACCTTGCTATACTGATGTGACATCATGAATTAAAGTACTTCATAGTTGAGGGCCTGATCAACCGTTTCAGCTAGGTGTTTTCCAACTATCCCGTCTTAGATATGAAGTGAATAGTTATAAATACTAACAATATGTGTCCATGTGTTGTTATAAAAGACTTACAAATCATTGCAATGCTAAATACTGGAAAACTCAAACTAAACATATCTACATATTTCTTTCTTTGTCTATCTTTTGAAAAACCAAGAGTCGAGCAGATTGGAATTCCCCGTATTATGTTTATTTATTTATTTAAACACATAAATATTGGTACAATTGGGCACCAGATACAGATGCGCCATACAAATCTCATTTGATTTGCTTGAGGGCTATGATACTGCCCAGGTGCCCGGACTGAAGCAGGTGGTTTTCTTAGGGGGCCACACCCTGAGCCTTTGGCCGAAAGATCTGATCCACAAGGTAATGGAGGATCGTGAGAAGATGCAATCCCATGGTAGCCGGTGATCAACGATTGATTCGTACGCCATTTGTTCCTTCAGGATACTGGAGCGCATGTGCACCATTGGTTTGGAATGAGGGTTTTCCAACTCCCCTAGGTGGATCCTCCACATCCACCAACCCGGTTAAATCACCGGGCATTCGCTTTTCGTCCTCTCAATTTCGTAAACAACACCCGTGGTGCGAGAAGGCAGTGAGTAGGACTTCCCTGTCAGAGGCTATATATTCGCGTGGCCATGTGAGAGCATTTGGAGAGGGAGAGCGGACTCTCACCACTCTCGACCGTACCAGGGCATTTGGGGGCACCCGTATTATGTACGGTGGGCCGTAAGAATTAGTTGTACCTTCTGATCAGTTAGATGGCCTTCATGATTAAAGATAAGTAGCATATTCTAACTGTTAGAAAAGTTTAAACAATATTCTTTTCAAATCATTGTAATTTGAATCCATGTTAAACTGAAATCTGTTGTAATCCTTCACAGTTGATGTTGTTAATTCTTTACTGTAACAAAATTGACAATATTGATTAAAGCAATTGTTATTAAGACTCAGTCAGTCAGTCAGCTACAACGTAGAATAAGTCACATATATACATCGGTCCAAGTTGCCATACCTCGTTAGCACAACAAGATGAACACCAGATCCATAGAAGTAGTTAATTTAGTGGTGGTAATATATAAAAGATAGGTAGTATATAAAGATATAGTATAGGAAGGAAGACAGATATGAAGCAATTTTAATCTCAGTTTAAAGGAAGATAAAGAGTGTATACACCTACGCCATTGTAATCAATTGTGAGCCATGTCACTTAGAGTCTCCAACCATTGGTTACGATAGTCACATGGACCCCAACCAAGTAGTCTGCATCTACCAACATGGCTCAGACTAGAAGTTAGTGACTTCAAGCTCTAACGCTACTATAACGCATATCTGCTTCATGCTATATATTAGTTGTCACTAGCTGAAATCACGATAGCTACTTACAAATAGCATTATAAACTAATTTACAAATTTAAAATTAACAATACTACTCAAGTTTACTTATTTACTATGAATAAAACTTGGTAAAAAAGATAAGTACACGTCAATCTAACGAACTTTGAATTATATCACATTATGGAAACTGTGATACTGCCTGTTTATCGAGTTGTGTTAACTTCTTGACAGTTAAGAATGTAGTTATTGACAGAGGTGATTTCAACACCTTCAGTTTTATTATCCAAAGTCAAATCTTTACTTCAAGGAATTACAAATACACAATCATAGATGATCTATTTTGTTAGTAAATATAAATAATTTCATCTTTACCTCCTTATGTCCCGACCGTTGCTGCCACCTTCACGTGGTGGTCGGGCTTGTCTATCGTGATGAACCAATCGAGCTATGCTGGCTGGAACAATCATTCCTCAAGGTCCTACCATGCCAGACAGGTCAGTTGAAGAGCGGTGAGACTAAAAGCAGCAATTCCAAGGTCCGAAGGCGAAGTCGTACTGCCGACTGTACAGAGGTGTGACGGCATTAATGTGTTTCCTTCAGACAACCAGCATAATAGAGTTGCTGCCTTCCCAAGAGGAGGGGTGTGGTTAGAAAATGTCAACACTAAAAATACACACCTTGCCTTATCCCACGGATTCCCGTCTCCGGCGGTAAGGTCCTTTGAAGAACGGAGCTAACACGTCAAAAATCCCCCACAAAAAGGCCGTGCGTGACCGGCCTCAAGCAGTTGTCCCTTGGGCACTGCGTTCACGCTCCCAGGTCGTTATGACCAACACTAATCAAACTTCTTTTTCAGGTCCCTCAAGAAATACCTTTCCACGGTATGGGCAGCCGGAAAGTGATATTAGCCCTCATACCCGTAACTGCACACGAGACCATGTTGGTCACATTCAAATCCTTCTTTACCTCCTTCTTGTAGTTTTTGTATGCAGGATCAATTTCCTTTCCGATCGTCAAAGAAAAAATTATTTGTCATTGAACTGTATATTTTTAACATTTAATTTTAGATTCATTTATGATTAGAGTGAAATTCGTAAATAAGATTAAAAGAAAATCTAAGTCGAACCAACTCATGGACTCAATTATAATGTAATTACTGAATGGTATATGTTATATCTGGATAAAAATGAATGAATGGTAACCTTTAGAAATTATCTATGGACTAATATTATACATATATTCTTATTAGCCTCCGAATGCCCTGGTACGACCGAGAGTGGGAAGAGTCCGCTCTCCCTCTCCAAATGCTCTCATATGGCCACGCGAATATATAGCCTCTGACAGGGAAGTCCTACTCACTGCCTTCTCGCACCACGGGTGTTGTTTACGAAATTGAGAGGACGAAAAGCGAATGCCCGGTGATTTAACCGGGTTGGTTGACACGGAGGATCCACCTAGGGGAGTTGGAAAGCCCTGATTCCAAACCAGCGACGCATATGGGCTCCAGTATCCTGATGGAACAAATGGCGTATGAATCAACCGTTGATCACCGGCTACCATGAGACTGCATCTCCTTACGATGCTCCACTGCCTTGTGGATCAGACCTTTAGGTCAAGGGCTCGGGGTGTGGCCTCACTAAGTAAACCATCTGCTTCCGTTTGAGCACCTGGGCAGTATCTCAGCCCTCACACAAATCAAATGAAATTTGTGCGGCGCATATATATCTACTCTTGATATATTCCCAATTTATTAATAACATTATCTCATAATTACAGCCAGTTTGGGCTTAATCCCGTATAAATGTTATTTTATATTGAATGGTATGATGTGGTCTGATTTCACTTGGATATAAACCAAGTATGTTTGAAATATAAGATCTTTGTCGCGGAGGCTGAGATTGGCGAAAAAAAGACCAATCGGAACTCCAGGCTGATCGTACTGGTGTATGCGTCATTAGTTTGGTCGTATAAGTCAATATATCTAAAGTTGGCAATCGTATATCGCGATGTCGTATAGCTAAAAACATAACAGTATATATGTTTTGAGTAGTATGTATTCGGATTAAAACGGATAAAATTGTGCTACGGTCTGTTATAACAACCAAATAAAATCTATCAAGAATACTTGTATTGTACATTTTATAAAGTGTAAAACAACTCCCTCGAAATAACTATCATCTGTATACTTAAAATTATCTTTTTTTTCTATTGTTAGTGATGAAAAATATAAAGCTATTCAGTTTAATAAAATTGATGGAATACTTGATAGAACAAGTTTTATGGGTCAATATAAATTCAGTACTAATGGATTACCATTAAATCCTCGTGGACGTACAGGAATTACTGGACGTGGTGTTCTTGGTCGTTGGGGTCCTAATCATGCTGCTGATCCAATTGTAACACGGTATACATAAATTTAATTATTTAATTTACTCGTTTTCAAAGTATAACTATAAATTATTGATTGTATGTTAGATGACCGATATTAAGCGGTTGGTTAAACCATAGTAGGCGTAGGGGATTCATTTATTATTTATTTATTTAAACACATAAATATTGGTACAATGAAGCACCAGATACATATGCGCCACACAAATCTCATTTGATTTGCGTGAGGGCTGTGATACTGACCAGATGCCCAAACTAAAGCAGGTGGTTTTCTTAGGTCACACCCCGAGCCTTTGACCGAAAGATCTGATCCACAAAGCAATGGAGCATCGTGAGGAGATGCAGTCTCATGGTAGCCGGTGATCAACGGTTAATTCATACGCCATTTGTTCCCTCAGGATCTTAGAACCCATGTGCATCATTGGTTTGAAATTAGGGATTTCCAACTCCCCTATGTGGACTTTCCGTGTCCACCAACCCGGTTAAAGCGCCGAACATTCGCTTTTCATCCTCTCAATTTCATAAACAACAATCGTGGTGCGAGAAGGCAGTGAGTAAGATTTCCCTGTCAGAGGCTATATATTCGCGTGGCCATGTGAGAGCATTTGGAGAGGGAGAGCGGACTCTTCCCACTCTCGGCCGTACTAGGGCATTTGGGGGCCGTAGGGGATTCAAAGTTACGGCTTGATATTTGATAGATAAGTACTTTAGTTACTATTCTGATTACTTATCTATTGTAATAACTAAGTGATTCTCATTATCTAGATCATGAGATATCATAAATTCGATAAATCAAGTACAAAAAACCATATAATATTAACGTATAATCATGAATTGTTCTTACTAAGACAATTCCTTTGGATGATATAAAGGAATGCCAACAGATGGTATTGCATTTTAACTATTGAACCTATCTTGTATATACTACTACCACCACCACCACTAAATTAACTACTTCTATGAATCTGGTGTTCATCTTGTTGTTCTAACGAGGTATGGCAACTTGAACCAATGCACATGTGTGCCTTGTCCTACGTTGTAGCTGACTAACTGACTCACTGATTGAACTTTTTTTGATTAATTCATTCTTCTTTGTACTTTAAGTTTTTGTTTTAATCATTCATCATTATGTAATAATTTATTTCATTAATTAAATGATAAATAATAAAAATTGAAGTACAAAATGGTAGCTGAAAAGAATACAATAGAAAATGAAAGTAAATTAATACAATCATTTAGTTGAGGATACTAGATCACCGGAAATCATTTGGTAAATGTCTTATTTTTGTAATTTGAAAAGTACACGTTTTTACCTCCAGATTGTATTTCCTACTTGAGAGGACCCTAAGTGTCATTGGTTTGTTGACTCTTAATACGCTATTGGTGACGTTTCACAAAGACTTTTTTATTCTGTATATATGCTTGAATTGTTCGCGCTCCTGGATGCTTGTGGAATATACTTTCCCTCATCTAAACCCGAATTCCTCTCTCTAGTTAGCAGGGCGGGGACGCATTGGAATGGTTTAGTTTGTCTTGTTTTTGTGTCGCTGATCCTTCCTCCATTCGCCGATCTTAGGTGGTCTTTTAATCTCTTCAAACAGCATATTTTGATACTATTATCTAATATATTCATTAGACTCTTAGTATCCCAAATTTTTTTCTTCAATTGACCTCACCTTTATTAGAACAATCAATTAAAATCTATCAGATCCTTCAGTAAAGTGAATGAATCATCTGTACTCTGAAAGTAAATCAGATAGTCAAATTATCGCATCGAATTCAAAATGCTGACTACAATATAAGTGAACCTCTTATGTTGTAGAACAATAATAAATTCAATTGTGACAGTCGTTTGGACTGTATATTATAATGATAATTTTGTTATCTTTCATTAACCCATGTACCAGACACAGATTTTCTACTAGATTTTAACCCATATTCGAAATGTGAAGGTTAGTAATACTACTCAGTTATCCACACCAAATTGGCCCCCAAATGCCCTGGTATTGCAGAGAGTGCGGCGAGTCCGCTCTCCCTCTCGAAATGTTCTCACATGGCCACGCGTATATTGCCCCTGCCAGGGAAGTCCTACTCACTGCCTTCTCGCACCACGGGTGTTGCTTACGAAATTGAGAGAATAAAAATCGAATCTCCGGCGCCTTAACCGGGTTGGTGGACACGGAAAGTCCACCTAGGGGAGTTGGAAAACTCTCATTCCAAACCAATGGTCTGCATTTGCTCCAGTATCCTGAGGGAACAAATGGCGTGTTGGTCACCGACTACCATAGGACTGCATCTCTTTATGTTGCTCCACTGCCTTGTGGATCAGACCTTTGAGTCAAAGGCTCTGGGTGTGACCCCCTAAGAAAACCACCTGCTTCAGTTTGAGCACCAGGGCAGTATCACAGCCCTCACACAAATCAAATGATATTTGTGTGGTGCATATGTATCTAGTGTTTCCCTGTATCAATATTTATGTGTTCAAATAATAATAATAAATAACACCAAATTAAGTGAAATGGAGTTTAGACCTACCATGTAATAGCTAAAAGTCGAATCCTATAACGGCTAAACTACCTCTTAGTCAATTATATGAATTGAAATCACGAACAATGAAGTAATTTCATTTATTCTTTATCCTTTTCTTAAATATTGGACTCAATATTATTCTATTCTATTACACCATACATGTTCCATTTTGAAACTATTTTTCACATTCTTAGTTTCCCACTGCGAATAATGTATTATTACTGCTACTTGTTTAGAGTTATTTATTTATTTATTTTATTTAAACACATAAATATTGATACAAGGAGGCACCAGATATATATGCGCCACACAAATATCATTTGATTTGTGTGAGGGCTGTGATACTGCCCGGGTGCTCAAACCGAAACAGGTGGTGACCACATCCGGTGCCTTTGATCTAAAGGTCTGATCCACAATGTAGTGGAGCATCGTGAAGAGATGCATTCCCATGGTAGCCGGTGACCAACAACTGGTTCATACGCCATTTGTTCCCTCAGGATATTGGAGCCAGCCCATGTGCACCATTGGTTTGGAATCAGGGTTTCTCAACTCCCCAAGGTGGACTTTCTGTGTCCACCAACCCGATTAAAGCGCCGGACATTCGCTTTTCATCCTCTCAATTTTGTAAACAACACCCGTGGTGCGAGAAGGCAGTTAGTAGGACTTCCCTGGGAGAAGCTATTTACGCGTGGCCATATAAGAGCATATGGAGAGGCAGAGCGAATTCTCCCCACTCTCGACCGTACCAGGACATTTGGGTCTTTGTTTAGAGACATCAACTATATTTTCCTCAAGTGATATGTTGTCTATGGTTAGCTGATTCTATCATATGTTCATTCTACACTTGTTGCATTGGATCGAAAAAGTTATTGTTTACTTTAAAAAAATAAAATCCTTAGTTAGTAGGTAATGATGTATTTCTTTTTGAGGCAATTATTACAATTACAAAATTGCTAGTTTTCTTCGGGTGATAAATGTTTACCTTTTGTACCATGGAAACAAAATTAATCCAGATGGAAACTTGACAACTCAGGCAGTCGATGTTTAAATAAAACTACTGGACGTCCAATTCTTCAGTTTGTTTCTATTCGTCGGAAAGATTCTGGTCAATGGGCTATCCCTGGAGTAAGTCAAATTATATTCTGTTAAGTGCATGTATACATATATATATATCATAATGTAAAACGGTCATCATCTTCTAAATGTCACCTTTCATCTATGGTGATATAATTGTCTTGTCTTCTTTTTCATTGTTCAGAATATCCTCAGGACTTACGCTCTTCAATCGCTTAGTTGTTTTATGCTCTGCCGAAGTTGTGTACATAAACAATTACCCAAAGTTTATTTCATTACTCATCTAAACAATAAAGCACAAGCGACATTTTGCGTTCGATGTTTTCATCAGTATAAAAGGTTGATCGTCCCATTATATCTTCATAAGTTGACCCAGAATTTCGATGGCGGATGGTCTCGTATTGATTAGATAAACTATGTATTAGATAACGGGTCCCCACTTCTTTTTGAATGGTTCATTAACATTTACTCTTTCTTAACTTATTGCTTAATACTAGTTTATTGATTGTGCTTTTGTGGAAGGGGGGTGTATCATTGTTACTTACATAGTTCCCTTTTCCATAAGTAATATAGGTAATATTATGGCTACATGGATTCTTATCAACTCCACATAGTTCCTCAATTTCTATGCTATAATTAGGCGTACCTTGTAATCTGCATATTTCTCCGTTTTGTCAAAGAAATAAAATTATTTAATTACTTAATTATCATATAGTTGAAATCATAAGTCAATTGAAGCTAGACCACCGTAGAAAACCTGGAAGCACTGGACGGCCATTTCGTCGTATTATGGGACTCCTCAGTGTCAGTGCGCATCCACGATCCCGCCTGGTGAGATTCGAACCCAGGACCTATCAGTCTCGCGCGCGAGCGCTTAACCACTAGACCACTGAGCCGGCTGGTATCCAACGGTGTTAATTATCACATTGTAATGTGGGCCCTATTGATTTATTTAAAGAATCTATAAAAAACGTTTTATATTAAATACAATTTACAAGACAAAAATACAGTTATAAAAGGTAAATTTACTTGCCAATTTAGGAATCATCCAATTAGGATAAAAAAAATTTCAATGACTTATTTTCTAAATTCCTTTAGGAAATTTTCAAAGGATTTTGATTGGTCAGAGTGTTTTCAACAATTTTCATGGCTTTTCCTAGGAATTATAGAGGATTCCCATCGATGTTATGATGTATATCATCTTTAAATATTAGAATGATTTATTACGTAATCTAGCGGGTATTTCTAAGATTGATATCTGCGACTCTGTCTATTCGGAATATTTCGGCGAGGAAAAACATTAATGCCATATAGAGAATGGTCCCTCTAAAGATATAAGCTTAAAGACTTATAAACAGGTTAAACCTGATGATCATGAAAATTAGAATGAAATGAATTAAAAAGATTTGAAATTATATCAAACCTCAAAACTTGATGGAACTTGGGATCTAGAGTTCTTATAATCTGTATGGCTGTGTCACAGGATCAAGCTGTGCTATTCAGTAGTTAAGGCTTTCGAATTATGGCAATCAAATCATAGGTTCTAACCACACTCCATCTATTTTGTAAGCAGAGATGGATAGTGGCTAGCAGTGGAATACAGGACGTGCGTGTCGTCCCATTTGGGACTCGTCAGCTGTATGTACCTGCATCCAGCAGAGTTGATGTTCACTCTGGGACTCAAACCCAGTACTTTTCGCTTCAAACGCCATCTTGTTATCCACTCGGCTACTGAATCCTGATATCCACTTGCTTGTGCAATGGGTGAATTTTAAATTCGTTTGGTTTGGACAGCTGAGTAGTATCATTGGCCCTAGCATTTAGAGTGTAGCTCAATCCAAGCATAATAATCTATATTTTATTGATGAATTAATCATGTCGACGTAGACGAAAAATCCTAACCATCTCAGTCGTATGAACTAAACACTTCATTATCTTTACCTGTCACTGTACTCCCTAATGTCAGCATCCTTCAATCACTTATTTAATATTGTAAGCATATATGCAAATCTAATATTCGTTCTAACTACTTCATATTCTTAATAAGAATTATATTTTATTATTGTATAAAGGGTATGGTAGACGCTGGTGAAAATTATACCTCTACTTTAAAAAGAGAATTTTCTGAAGAAGCCTTAAATTCTACAACAGCTTCATCAAAGGAGTTAGAAGCGATCGTAAAACGTGTTGATGATGCTTTTCATCATGGAGTTGAGGTAAGTATTTGGCCTGGAGAAGAGATTTGTGTATGTACTTTTCTCTCTAGATTGTTATTTGTTGGTTAATCCCATAAATAAATAAATGGACTGCTTATCACTTGATAACAATGGTTCTCTGTAGTTCAACAATGTTGTCAACTACATCCAGAAATGAGACAGCTGTCACTGATATCACATTAACTGATACTTGCAGTGTACCATAGATTGAATAAAGTTTTAAAAAAAAGTAAAGTACTTCATTTCGACTTGTCAGTCTGTAAAAGTGTTGTCCTCACGCGACGAAACGTGAAAGTTCTAGATTTCGTCCTGTTATGGGGACTGCAAAACAGTCCACTCCCACAAACTCATGGTAGAGATTAAGGAGAAGGATTCAGTCCTTACGGTGCACTCCTCTTTTACCTAATTGGGCTCTAGATTTGACCACGACGCGCTATGCTGACTAGTATTGGGGATGGTTGGAAGAGAGTTAGGGGCGGTCAAACCAAAACATGGCTTCAGTGTTTGAAGTCACTAACTTCTAGTCTAAGCCATGTTGGTAGATGCAGACTACCTGGTTGGGGTCCACGTGACTATCGTAACCAATGGTTGGAGACTCTTGGTGACATGGCTCATAACCGATCACAATGACATAGGCGTGTACACTCCTTATCTTCCCTTAAACCTTGAGATTAAAATTGCTTCATATCTGTCTTCCTTCCTATACTATATCCTTATATACAATCTTTCTTTATGTACTACCACCACTAAATTAACTAGTTCTATGAATTCGGTGTTCGTGCTAACGAGGTATGGCAACTTGGACCGATGCATATATGTGCCTGGTCCTACGTTGTAACTGACTAGATTTGATGCCCTCTTTACCTACTTCTATCTGAACAACCGATTATTGTCACTAGCCTTCATACTCAAATTCACTTTAGTACCCGATGTTCATTTGATGTTATTGATGACAATTATCCTAGCCCAACTAAGAATTACACTGATAATGGCTCTCGTCAGAAATTCGGTGAACTAATTCTTCACAACTGGTCACTAGTAAACACATGATTACTGTTTACGATAAGTGATGTGTAGAAATATGTGTCCATGGACTGATTTAAATTATTAGTTAATCGTCGCTGTAAATTTTATGGATTAACTTAAGTTGAAAATGTATAAACTGTTAGAAATTCTGGCTTAATATTGTTGGTATATCATCGTCTGCCGACTATACCTGAGGATCTTCGGATCTATCTCCTGTATTGATTCGTGAATCCACACTACTAAGGAGTTTAATTCATTAGTCGATCTAAGCTAGATCACCATTAGAAACCTGGAAGCACTGGATGGTCGCTCCTTGGTCCTATTACGGATCTCCTCAGTAGTGCACATCCACGATCTCCCATATGTGGGACTTGAACTCAGGACCTTCGGTCTCGCGCACCAACACTTAATCTGTGAACTATTGGACCGGTATCCGACGGTGTTAGTGTCTAACTTCAATCGATATATAATCTTGTGCAACCCATCATAAATTGTCTGAGGTGGGTAACTTTCTCGCACCCGATACGGATTGGACTCCACTGGTTACGGCTTCTCATTAGAACTTCAGGAAGTTAGTCACTAGTGAGCACATGATTATTATCAGTATGGTAATTTGCAGAGAGTGTAATATTTTAACAGTTGAATTCACTAGTCTATCTAAGCTAGACCACCATTGAAACATTCGTGCATGAGACCGAAGGTCCTTGATTCAAATCCCGCGTGTGCGATTGTGAATGTGTAGTGCTAAGAAGTCCCATACTAGGACAAAACAGTCATCCGGTGCTTCTAGATATTTAATAATAGTCTAGCTTTAATTGATTCATAAATTCAATAATTATTAAAATATTACCATCTTCACAAATCTTCATACTGATCATATAAATTTATAATCAGAAGGGGTTTTGTGGAGATTTCAATTATTTTCATAGTTGAAATCATGAGTCAATTGAAACTAGACCACCATGAAAAACCTGGAAGAACTAGATGACCGTTTTGTCCTATTATGGGACTCCTCAGCAGTGCGCATCCACGATCGTATGCTCACAAGTGACTGACTTTAAGAGATGTTTCCTGGAGTTCTAGTGGGAAGCAGTGACCAGTGGAGTTCAACCACATCTGTTGTGAGATATTAACTCATTGAAGTCAATCGGTAAACGGTTGCTTAAACTTCGTGGATTGGTTGAAGTTAGACATTAACACCGTTGCATATCGGCTCAGTGATCTATTGGTTAAGTACTGTGGCGCGAGACTGTTAGGTCCTGGGTTCGAATCTCGCGAGGTGGAATCGTGGATGCTCACTGCCAAGTAGGAGTCCCACAATAGGACAAAACGGTCGTCCAATGCTTCCAGGTTTTCCATAGTGGTCTAACTTCAATTGACTCATGATTTCAACTATATAAATTTAGTTCATAAACCACCGAAACAAAGAAATACCAGAGAACGTTTTTGTTTATTTGCTTCTAATAATCTATTCATAATAATAATAAAAGGTATTTGTAATACACATCTATATTATAAAGATAGATACATTATCTTTCTATCTAAATAATAAATAGAATTCTAATTATGAACTATTAAAATAAACTAAAAAAAATTTTTTTTTAATTTTATTCTTTCTCTTGTTACTATGTATCTGTGTGTAGTGTGTGTATGTGTGTGTGTGTGTGTTTTTTCTCTCTTTTTTTTGTTTATTTGTTTCTTTTCATATTGATTAATTTTTTGATATCAATAGAGGTTTGAATAGTTAAGATGAAGATGATGATGATGATGATTTGATTGAAATGAGATTATTATGGTAAAATTGAAAGTACGAATATTAGTTAAAGAATAGTTGGAATGGATATAAATAAACCATTTGATTAAAGTACAGATTGAGTATACTATTATGAAGGATGATCTTTGAAAAAGTTTATTTATTTATTTATTTAAGCACATAAATATTGGTACGAAGGATCACCAGATACATATGCACTACACAAATCTCATTTGATTTGTATGAAGGTTGTGATACTACCCAGGTGCCCAAACTAAAGCAGGTGGTTTCCTTAGGCGGGCACACTTGGAGCCTTTGACCTAAAGATCTGATCCATAAGGCAGTGAAACATCGTAACGAGATGCAGTCCCATAGTAGCCGGTGACTAACAATTGGTTCATACATCATTTGTTCCTTCAGGATACTGGAGTCCATGTACACCATTGGTTTGGAATCAGGATTTCTCAACTCCCCTAGGTGGATTTTCCGTTTCCACCAACCCGTTTAAAGTACCGGACATTCGTTTTTCGTCTTTTCAATTTTGTAAAAAACAGTAGTGCCACGAGAAGGCAGTGAGTAGAACTTCCTTGGTGGAGGATATATATTCGCGTGGCCATGTGAGAGTATTTTAAGAGGAAGAGAGAACTCTCCCAACTCTCGGCCGTACCATAGCATTTAGGGGCAATAAAAATTTCGATTATCTGTTAATATATATTTGATCATAAACACCTGCCTTCAATCTACTGTTGATAGTATAATGAAATTATAAAGTGAATAATTCTGACAATAATAATTCAGTTGGTAAGTTTGTGGTTCTTGATCAATTCAATTGGTTAGGATTATGTTACGTATTCCAAATTATTATTTACTCTGATAAATTAAGCTAGCTAATATAAAGAAGTTAGAAGTTGTTGAATAAAAACAAAGGATATCCGTTCATGAAATCATCAGTTGTTAGTCGGATTCGTATTAAATTAGGCGAATAGTTGAAAATTTGAAAGTTATTACCTCAGGAATTCGTACATATATTTTTAATAGCTATTACGTTCTCATTTTTAAAACATACTATCTCATCGGTTTTCACACTATACATTATTTATTTTCTGACACTAGGACTAGGTGGAAAAGCCAAAGTGGTTAATTTTGTGATATAGTACCGGAGTATGATGGAAAAGTGTATAGAACTGGCATCTGATAGTCTATTACGACAACTTAGAGATTGTATAATTCATTGACATGAGATATTATCAGATATAGCTCAGAATAGAACCCAATAGTGATCATGTAGTAGTAGTAGTACTGTTATACATTCTTTTAATTAAAGGGTACCCCGTAATTGTATTTCTAACTGAAGTGTATCTTGTATTATATACCATTCTTATTTACTTACTTATTTTATTGTATTCCTTATCTTTTATTTCTTCCCAATTGTTTGTTATCTCGTCATCTATGCAGCCCATGTGTATTCAATAAAGTAAAATTGGTTTGAATAATTTTTTTCTGGTTAGCGTTTTCGTTTTAGCTAGTTGGTTTTTTACTGGATAGGGTCGCTAACCTCATGCCCAACCCTTCTCCTTTATCCGCACTTGGGACTAGTAGTAGCCCCCCGAGGAGGGAGCTACAGGCGGAGTTAAAAAAAATTAGAAATGTTTAATAAATATATACCCCTATCTTCTAAATCATTTGATGTGATTTCACTGATGATCTCAGTCAGTCAGTCAGCTACAACGTAGGACCAGGCATATTTATGCATCGGTACAAGTTGCCATACCTCGTTAGCACAACAAGATGAACACCAGATCCATAGAAGTAGTTCATCTAGTAGTGGTGGTAGTATATAAATTATAGCTTGTATATAAGGATATAGTATAGGAAGGAAGACAGATATGAAGCAATTTTAATCTCAAGGTTTAAGAGGAGATAAAGAGTGTATACACCTACGCCACTGTGATCGATTCTGAACCATGTCACCAAGAGTCTCCAACCATTGGTTACGATAGTCACGTGGACCCCAACCAAGTAGTCTGCATCTACCAACATGGCTTAAACTAGAAGTTAGTGACTTCAAGCACTGATGACCTACATATCCTTTTTGCCATTTATAAGCTATAGTTCATTAGTTTTACAAAAACTGTTAATCAAATTTTTATTACAAATATCTTAGTTTTGTATATAATAAATAAAGTAAGATAACCTAGTCTTCGCTTACTCTAGTGTTCTAATTTGTTATACTGGGTAAAAACTTTGGTTTGCTTAAGCAATCGATTGTTCACATATACTGTTGCTATGTCAATGAAGAAAAAAAATCATAACAGATCTTATATGTAAGGATATAATTTAACTTCCTGGTTGTTACTTGAACTTAAATCGTAATCTTTGGTTAGATGACTTTTCGGTGACAACATGGTTCGAAATCATACAACTTCATCCACGCAAATTTATACAACGATCTACATTGTATATAACCAAATTTGTTTTGATGATGCTCACTCAGCTATAAACATCTAGAATTAATTACAAGTTAATGATGTTTCCAATGGTTCATATTAACTAGATATTCAATTGTTGTTTTCTAATGTCCGTTGCTTTCGAACACTTACATAGACTAAGTACATTAATGGTTCATTATAGACCGAATGTTAGACAATAAATTTGCACAAGCTACGTATTTATGTACGATACTAGACGAATCCAGACAGGAATATGTGAGTGATGACTATTCTCCATCATACGAAGCCCTCCACAAACCTCTATTTCTCACATTCTATATGTATCCTCTTAACAACATGTGAGCCGTCTAAATTTCTCCAACATACTGATTCATTTTCTCATGTATCATTTTTGCCTCCAAATGCCTTGGTACGGCCCATAGTGGGAAAAGTTAGCTCTCCCTCTCGAAATGCTCACACATGGTCACGAGTATATAGCCTCTGCCAGGGAAGTCCTACTCACTGCCTTCTCGCACCACGGGTGTTGTTCACGAAATTGACAAAACGAAAAATGAATGTCCGGTGCTTTAACCGAGTTGTTGGACACGGAAAGTCCATCTAAAGGAGTTAGAAAACCTTGAATCCAAACCAATGGTGTACATGGACTGCAGTATCCTGAGGGAATAAATGGCGTATGAATCAATCGTTGATCACCGGCTACTGTGGGACTGCATCTCCTGACAATGCTCCACTGCCTTGTGGGTTAGACCTCTAGGTGGAAGGCTCCAGGTGTGGTCCCCTAAGAAAACCATCTGCTTCAGTTTGAGCACCCGGGTAGTATCACAGCTCTCACACAAATCAAATGAGATTTGTGTGGCGCATATGTGTCATTTTATGTGAGGACATATCAATAAATCTTTTAATAAGATTTAACCAGTGATTTACCAAGGGGTCTGAATTATCATCATTTTGTAAATTAATTCACTAATGACAAATACTCATAACTCATATGGTTCTCTTTTTTATCTCTCATTAATGTATACCAACTTGATATAGATTTATAAAGGTTATGTCGACGATCCACGTAATACGGATAATGCATGGATGGAAACTGTGGCAGTAAATTTTCACGATGATATTGGCAATTGTCTAGCATTATTCCCATTAACTGCAGGTAGATCATGTTTCTTTTATTTATTTCTGACGTTATTCTATCTCAATAAATTAATTGACATCATATGTATGAAAGAAGCTACTTTTCAGTCAACTAATTTTTTTAAAAATATCGTGTTTACTGTGTTTAATGATACTGCCCGGGTCCCAAGACCGAAGCAGGTGGTCTTCTTAGGGGGCCACACCTGGAGCCTTCGACCTAAAGGTCTGATTCACAAGGCAGTAGAGCAATGTAAAGAGATGCAGTCCCATGGTAGCCGGTGACCAACGATTGATTCATACGCCATTTGTCCCCTCATAATACTGAAGCCAATGTGCACCATTGGTTTGTAATCGGGGTTTTCCAACTCCCCTAAGTGAACTTTCCGTGTCCACCAACCCGGTTTAAGCGCCGCACATTCGCTTTTTCACCTGTTTAATGATATGCACAATAATAGCATAGCACTTAATCGGTTGTCTGCTAAATATTGGTTTACTGTTAGTTTTCTTTTCTAAACTCAGATTTCATTTCTGTTTCCATTCACGTCTACAACCTCTAACGAATAGTGTTGTTATGATATATGTGAGATTCTTTCCATTGGAATGTAAGTTTTGTGATCATTTCCATACTCTGTGTGTATATTAGTCAATTAGCGTTTAGAAAAATACCATGTTTAAAACACCTTGTCAAACGTCTTCATTTACATCTTTATCATTCTTTTGTCTACCATATATATGACTGAGGGTTAGTGATATGATTCAGAGAGGCTACGCTGACAATGCTTGTGTAATCTGATTCTCATTTTCAAACATTGTGAAAAACTGGTTCCTAAGATTCCAAAATCCTAGTCGTGGGAAGTGTTTCCTAAACGAATCTATTAAAATTTATGCTCAGCTTGTTAGCATTGTGCTTACTATTTATTCAAGAATAACCACATTTGTGGTCTGTGTATCAGCAGCAGCTTCCATTCCTAGCGTATATATATCACTACTGTTATTTGAATGAGATCCACCGTTCAATTTAGGTTATCTTTGTTCATTAGCCCATATACATGGCTGTGAGCTAGTATTACCACTGTGTTGCTCGAACCAAGGTAAACGGAGCGGAGTTTAAATCTGAGGTTTAGTGGCTGGAAGTCAAATCACTAAGCCACCGCTTCACTACGCTTAGGCACAGGTATGTCCCCGACCTCAGCATGTCTGGAAAGTTTTTTAACATTCTGAAGCATCTGCAAACCACCATCTCTCTCTGTTGTCCCATCCGAACAGTTGGATTAGATAGTGTTACCCAATCTCAGTATTCTCCTTTAACTTTACCATCAATGGCATTCTGCAAACAGCTCTGACGGAAATAGATGATGGTGGTGTAGATCCACTACCTGCAGATAGATCTTTCGGCCACGCGATATGCACTTAGTTAGCAATCAGTGTCCACAGGTACGGTATGTGCTTTGAACCTTTTAAGTGTAAAGTAATTTTACAAGACTGGCAGGAGCCTATACTTACACTCACTCTTGGTGGTGAGCAATTACAAGGGGTCAAAAAGTTCATGTGTTTGAGTAGTTGTGCAAACACTATTGACGTGTAGAACTAAATCAGTTTATGTATAGTGAAAGCCAGAACGGCTCATGCCAACCTGGACCATCTTTGAGGTTGTTGCGGTTCTAGTCAAGTTTACAACGCGTGACTGACAGAGGTTTTGTTCTATACTTGTGAAACCAGACCTTACCGAGTTCAAAAACTCTCGATGTTCGACCATTGTTGTCTCCAAAACATTGTTGACATTCAGTGACAATGTGTTTAGGCACAATAGCTACAGTTCAATTGATGTCACGACAACCTTCAAATCACCAACTTTAGTGGCTTGGACATGTGCTACAAATGTCATTCCAGTGAATTCCGCATCGTGCATTACTTGTCAACGCTAGGACTGGTTAGTAAAATCGGAAAGTTAGTGAGCTAATGACGCACTCCTGAGGCATGAAGAAATACTGTCCTACATAACTCCGTTTTTATGGTTTTAGAAATAATGCCACTCGGTGGCTTGAGATGTTATTAGACATAACTCAGTCCGGTCCTTCATTAAAGATGATAGGAATTTCTTTAATTAGAAGAATTCCAGTTGTTTTATTACTGATTTGATTCTTCCAATATATAATACCCTCATTTGCTTAAATTTTACAAATAAATATCCCCCTTTGTTGTTTTTTTAATTCCTCATCATTATCATAATCAAATAGGTGATGATGCAGAAGCTGTACGTTGGACAGATATCAGTTCTGATTTACAACTCTATGCAAGTCATCATGATTTTATCAAATTAGTTGCTGAATTAAGAAATGCACAATGGTAAACTTAAACAACAACAACAACGAGGAGAAGAAGAAGAAGACAGATGATGATTCCCTGAGACATTGATTTCTTTTCTTCTTTTTTTTTTAAAATATACTTTACATATTCAGTATAATTTACATTTAATAACAATAATCATAATATAAATATGTTATTTCTTTAAAAGAAAATTTATTCTTTCCACTTTCAACCCCAAAACAGTTATTGTATTATTGTATACACAAATACAAAATTTAATTACTTAATAGAAAAAATTTAGTTTAATTGGATATCAAAAAGAGAAAAACAAAAAATGCAAACAAAACAATGCATGAATCTTGGGAATAATAGTTCAATATTGGATAGGTGGATAAGTGGGGTAGGGGGGTAGAGAGGGGGTGGGCGACGGGAAGAAAACATTTTACAAAAAACACACCGATAAATAGAAGTAAAAATTTTACAAAATTGACAGGGAGGGGAATGGGGTTTATAAACAAGGGAAATAATAATAACTGTAATTATTATCATTGAAAATAGAACACATTTTTTTTGTTTGTTTTTATATGCTTTAGAGGAAATAGTCTGGTATTGGTCGACGAGCTGGTATACCCCGGGCATCCTTTAATAAATATAAGTTATTTGTAGAAAAAAAAAACAGTTTAAGTGAATAAAGTCATGCTTAAATAGTTGCCAAACAGTTTACATAATTCTTTTTAGCTATAAACTTTAACAGTATATAACACGCCTTATACAATAAGGTTTACATTATTTGTAGACCATAAGATGGCCCCCAATTGCCCTGGTACAGCCGAGAGTGGGGAGAGTTCGCTCTCCCTCTCCAAATGCTCTCACATGGCCAAGCGAATATATAGCCTCTGCCAGGGAAGTCCTACTTCACTGCCATCTCGTGGCGGGGGTGTTGTTTACGAAATTCAGAGAACAAAAAGCGAATATCCGGCGCTTTAACAAATATTTATGTGTTTAAATAAAATAAAAATAGAGCATAAGACATTTATGTGTGGCTTTGTTTACGGGACATGAGGCCCCAAAAATTGGGAGTAGGCAAGAGGAAATGCTTTACGGTTCAGGGAAATGATTTGGAGACAAATTTTTTCCAAATCATATCAACTAATGAAGTAGGGTTTTTATTATTGTTACCTGTTAGAATGCCATAAAAACTTACTGTGAAAAATCCATGCTTGATGAAACAATTACTGACTGACACGCCTTACACCGGTCAAAGAGGTATGATTGTTTATGTAAAATGGATGCCTCTATCTGATATTGCTTTTTTATCTACTCCAACCAAGTGAAAGAGTATTAAAGTGACATGTACACTTCTTAATATGGATCGTGCGTAGAATCCCTGACAAAAAAACTGTGTTTTTTAGTGTCTAAAAATCTCCAGTAAAAGGAATTAAGAACCCCAGTTAATAAGACCATGCAAATAAAATGTTGCGTAACAGTATCATTGAGCTGTAACTTTGACAAGAAATACAATGACTGTGGGTCGAAACGATGTTGCTGACTGACTATTGTCCATGATTATGAACAAAATCAATGTGTCATGATTCCTAAAAATCTACAAGTCACAGCTGTACGTGCAGGACAACTAGTTATAAATGAGTTGGACTACGGCATTTTCAGAGCTATGTAAACTTGCTACACATAAATTCTCATCCACCAGTGTCTAATTAGCTGATGCACAAAAGGTGCATTGCGATTGTAGAGATGCCATGAGAAACGGATTTACAATTCTAGTTAACAACATATGAGTAACTACAATCGGTTGGGCCACTCATTCAGTAGACACATTTTTCCCAGTTGATATAACACGGCAAATAACTAGAAAATACTTTGATAGGTTACCCCACTGCGAATAATATACTTGAGATGATGGACAAAGTTGCAATCTTATCGGTTTCTCTCAGATCTTTATTAATTACTTGGTGAGTAAATTTATACTCGTACTACCTTAATCAGTTGGAATTTGAGGTTCAGTTTTGATACTGAATTACTCATTCGTTAACAATAGTCATTGGGATATTTTAACAACTGATTACCTTCTCATAAAAAACCCTGTTAAGGTGATCTTAATTTAAATCTAAGCCGAAGGGCATTAACTGAAAGTGTATAAACATTAGTGGCTGTCGATAAATGATGGAGAGTATGACCAGCCTTTACACAATTACAGTGGCTTTAAGATGAGTCAGTGTCAGCTACAATGTAGGACCAGGCGAATACATGATAGAACATAGATATCAACACTTCCAGGAAGCTAGTTAACTTCAGGTTTTGGACATTTAATTATCCACATTAGTGTACAGCAAACTCAACTAATCAAACATTAGAAGCAATAAATGTAGCAAGTTTTTGAAAATTGCTGGGACTGAAAATATAAATTGAATATTCACATAGGTTGGAGGATTGACAGGGATATGAAAATCAGGTAGTGACATAAGATAGCTTTAAGTGAGATTTCAATCAGTAGTATCAACAGTAACATGACTTAAAACGAAATTTTAAAAAACAGCTTACTATGATTACTATAAACAGTTACTATATCATGAGAAATGTAAAGTGATGAGCAATAATTATGTCTTATTATCAGACTATCCCTTGAATGACATGTTAAAAAATTTAAACAAAACTGTTATCCTCCATATGTTTGGTGACCTATAAGCATATATTTAATAATAGAAGGGGTTTTGTGGAGATTTAGTATTTATCAATGTATTTATCATATACTAACTAGTGACTTCGAGAAGTATATCTAGGAGCTCTAGTGAGAAGCAGTGACCAGTGGAGTTCAAATCCACGTCTGTTGTGAGATGATGGACTCAACCGAGATAGGAATTCACTGAAGACAATTGGTGAATGGTTGCTCAACTTCGTGGATCAGTTGAAGTTAGACATTAACACCGTTGGATGCCAGGAAATTCAGTGGTCTATCGGTTAAGGGCTTCGGCTCGAGACTGGTAGGTTTTGGGTTCGAATCTCGCGAGAGCGGGTTTGTGGATGCGCACTGCTGAGGAGTCCCATAATAGGACGAAACGGTCGTCCAGTGTTTTCATGATGGTCTGACTTCAATTGACTCACCATTTCAACTATGAAAAAATTGACTAGTCTTCAAAATGTTTTATATCAAACATGAAGAAAGTGTACTGCAATTGTCACTCATTTAAACGTGTTGATTATACGAGAATATATCAATCAATAAAATTGAATTGTTGTATCCTACAGTGACTAGAGTTGTATTTGTATGTATTATAACAGCAGAATATATATATATATTTATGTATGAATTACCTGTAGTGAAGCTTCAAATATAGAAAATTCTTTATCTAATCGATCATTTAAACGTAAAATAGCGGCAACATTACCACAACGATAACAATAATTTGGAGCAGACCATACAGTAAGAACACTTTCATGAAAATGCCAACGATAACCTTCCATAACTAATTGATGTGCACGACATATGAAATCGATTCGATTTAACTAGAATATGGATACACAGAAAGATAATAAAATATGTATATATAGACTAATATTACAGATCCAAAGGACACATTACGCCGAGAAATAGATATAGACATGAGAAGAATGAACAAAAAATGGATAGAACTAGAAAAGAAGGCCCAGGACAAATTGGGTTGGAGAAAGTTGATCGGCGGCCTATGCTTCATTGGGAGTAACAGGCGTAAGTAAGTAATATTACAGATTGATAATACATGTCTAATTAGAATTAAAAGCCTATGGTGAATAGATGGTGTAAATGTTCTTTGTAACATTGTGACTACGGAAGTATTTGTTCAAGGTGAAAGTGAATGATCAGAGCACTATAAGCCAAACAATTAAACAAACTTTAATATTATGTGGACTACAAATAATCAAACTGTACTATTAAATCCAAAAGTATCTAGTTTAGTCAGCGTACTCACACTACAAACGAAATATACTATTTTCGTATGGTATAATATGTACTTCTCTTAATAAAACAAATGCTGAGTAGTTATTATTAAAATATTTTAAAGGTCGGTCATGTCTAAACCCCTCTTTCCATTGTGAGAAGACTGTATATACCTGATGATTCAAATTGTTTAAAACACTTTACTGTAGTCGGTGCAGTCGATAGTACAATTTCGTCTTCGGACCTCAAGTTCCTTACTTTTACTCTTAGTATACTCCAACAGACATCTCATTCACTAGGAACCTGGGTACAAGCCACAATCTACATGTGAGGGGCTAATGATACTACTTGGTTGCCCAGACCGAAGTGGATGGAACGAGGCTTGAATCTGGAACTTGATAGTTAAAAGTTGAACGTCTTAAAGCCATTAAGCTATTGCTTGGCATGGTGGGATCTAAAAGAACAAGTGTCCCAATCAATATAAATCGACTGAATTATGAGAGGCAAACTCGACACCATGTCATTGTAGTAACTAAGGTGAGACAGACTGAAGATATATCAAAATAAGATGAAAAGTCGTGAATTTATCTATATTCCACATTACTAATCATTTGTTTATGTTATGGGATAATATGAATAATGTTATGAACTTGGAAGCTTGTTTGCCATTTCTGCAACTATAACACCAAGAGGTTTGATATCGGTATACTTTACAGTAACGTGTATAAATTATAGTGAAAATCGACCAACATTTCTTCAACTTTACCAAGATTATGACTATTGATGCAGATTTATCATTTGAACAGCTTTTTTTACACTTAAGATAAATTAACCGATTTCAATGTCAAGTTGTTACTTTATATTTCATAACCAACATGTACACTTTAGGAATCAAGTGTTATTCCCTAGATTAGCTTAAAAATACAATTTTGTACTTGAGTTTTGAGATACAAGCTCTGTATGACGGATATTAATAATATGCGGCTATCCAAATACAACTAGATGGAGTGGGTCCCCAATTTGTATCCAAGTTGTCAGCAATCATGAGCTTAAGACATCTCACTACAAAGTCAGTCGCATCTAAATATCTAGGTACATAGGTGATTCGCAATAGCCTTCTCTTCATTTAGATATGTAGTATTTCAGTTATGCGTTTATAACCACTGTTAGGGAAGTCCTACTCATTGTCCTCACTCGGAGACGGGGCTGTTATCTATGGAAATGAAAAGTGAACTTCATCGCTGACTCCGGGTAAGTGGATATGAAAATCTTATTTAGAGGTGTTGGACAACTCCTGTTTCAAACCAAAGGTACAAATGAGTTCAAGGGAATGAATGGGGTATGGACCTATTTCTGATCACCCACTATAATGGGACAGCATCTGTTGATGTTGCTCCACTGCCTTGCAGATGAGACCTTTAGATTAAAGACTGGGGAAGTGTCCCTTATGAAAGCATTCTGCTTCTTTTTGAGCACCCGGGCAGTATCACAGCCCACACACAGATTAATGATAATTACTACTGGAAAAACTACTCTTGACTCAACACTCATTCAGACAGATCATATTCAAAATTATTTGGTAACATTTGTTTTACATTTCTTTCATACTACGTCACTTATGTAACCTCTTTTATTTTTATATTGCATGTCTTATTTCTCAACCTATACAACAGCAGCTGGCTTATGGTGGGAACCCTGTCCTTTCTAAACGATCTCAAGTCACTGACTGATCGAAAGTACCTCCGGCTCTTTTTAAAGATGGTGGTGACTTTCTGGTTAAGGAACTGACCGAGTTGTTTACAAAGGTCTGGGAATTAGTGTTTCAACAAAGTGGGATGAGTTGATAGTTGTCCCTATCTTTAAAAAAGGTTTACGTTGTTTCTGCAACAACTATCGGAGGATAAGTCTACTTCTGATCGCGTCTAAGATTGACTCACGAGGAGCAAGTTGGTTTTCTTTCTGGTCGAGGATGTATTGAACATATCATCACCATCATTCTCAGATGTTAGAACACCACCATACCTATTGTATGTCAACAATCGTTTTGTTACTTGACATCATAGCCACATTCAATTCGTTGGACAGGACTGTTCTCTGGGATGATCTCTTGAAGAAGGGTGTTTCTAAGAAGCTTATTAACTTCATGAACCCTCTATATACTAACAATTCAGGCAGAGTGAGGGCGTACAACCACCTTTTTCCATTGTTCCATTCAAGCAGTGGGGTTAGGCAGGGCTGCCCAGTCTCACCATTCCTCTTCAACTTTGCGACTGATGATGTTCTGGAAACAGCTGTGATGGATCTGTTGCCTGGATAAACTTTCCGACCTTGAGTATGCGGATGTATTATCTTACTGTGCGATAATGACGAAGCCATGCAATCCGCACTTAATCAGTTGGCAGTATCCGTAGGTATGGCATGTGCTTTGCAATTTCCAAGTGCAAAGTACTTTTACTCGACTGGCATGACCCTCAACCTGAACTCACCATGAGTAGTCAGAAGATAGCAGTCGAAAAGTCCGAGTATCCGGGTAGCTGTGTAAGTGCTGTTGGTGGCGTGAGTGATGAGATCAATCCACGTATAGTGAAAGCCAGAGATGCTTGTGCCAATCTGTGCCACCTCTGGAGCCTTCGTGATGGTAATCCGACTGTAAAAGGTCGGATGTACAACGCGTCGGTGAAAGCAGGTTTGTTCTATGTTTGTGTTAGTGGGACATAGATTGGATTAAAGCATGTTTTATGCATGATGATGTTGCTGCGCGCTGATTGACTAATTCTAAACCGATCTGCCCGGGCATATTATTGGAGAAAAATCTAGAAGCTTCTTCTGTATATACTATAAATATATGAACGTTATTCAAATCAGGATTGCTGTTCACATACCATTATTATTCTGAATACAATTTTATTCCTGTTCAACGCATTCTGATTTTGGGGTCTTGTTGAGTGTCATCGTATAAGAATACTAAGCAATAGGAATATCTGGGTCGTTTATATTAGCAAAAAAATACAATTATAACAGTTTGTGAGACCCAGCCTCTCCGAGTTGAGGGCGGTAAACGACTGTCTGTGTTTACAGGGAAATACCATCCGAATAAGTTACGTTAATCGGTGTTCTTTCTGGATTATTACATTCCCTAAATTTCGTTAACACTTCGTCTAACTAATCAATTATTACACTCATATTTCAAAATTCTCTGATTGGCTTCGAGTATGAAGATGAAACTATCTTATTTGACGAAGATATTGACACAAATCAATCTTTTGAAGCTCCCATGTCCGTAATTCAAGAATCTGAAGTAAATTTCACACCATCCAAATGCGAAAATAGTTTCATGAACGTCTGACACTAATTTATTCATTGTCATGGTCAGAGTAAGTTAGTTGCAGTGCTGATTACTCCAACTAGTTGGAGGTTTTCATCAGCCCTAGAAAGATTTAGGCATGGATACGGAAAAACTGCCTAGCTTTTTCCACCCGTGGAACAGGTGACATGCCAATAAAAAGAAAGGAAACTATGCAGCAACTAGCTCTTAACTAATTTAAGGTTGTGAAACACGATACATGAGACCGTAAGACATATAGGTTGCAGTTATCTACTTATAGGCTCTTTTAAAACAATACTTCCATCAAATGAAACCAATAATTAAGCAGCGAGGGATATTAGCCACTGAATACTACAGAAAGGTAATGAAGATGTGGACATTTATCGACTGACCGGATTCAGACATGTCACGTGTGCTCACCTCTGTAGGTCAAAATGGCTAATATAGTAATGTTTTGAAATGGAACGGGAATCAGGTTAAAACATAACAGTGGTTTATGAAATCACTGACTGCTGACTTGAACAGTGTGAGAAAATGCCAACTTCGTGGTAAAAACTAGTCTGATAATTATAATTCATGTTTAGACTGTCTTGAAATCGGTAGCAGCGGTACAGTTATACTTATTAGCCATCTGCCTTCTGATATCGAACATTACTTTATAAAAATGAAAGTTTTCATGACAAGGTTTTTGTACATCAGTTAAGACATGTACGAATCATAAGTTCTTAAAGGTAATTTTAATGGCTAGATCCTTTCTGAATAAAGAAAATACTTAAAGTCCTACAAATAAAGTTAACTTACTTGATTAAAATTGGCTACAACGTCAGAGCCAAATAAATAGCCAGCACCTCTGGGGCTCACCCCCCAACCAGCAGTCTCTTCCGGATCAGACCACAAGAGATCACACATTGGACCATCATGTGGGACTTCCTGTTTACGATCAATGGTACGGATTTGATCCAATGTTGTAATTGTAGGTGATAGGCCTCCATGAACACAAAATATCTTATCAAGGAAAAACATTCACAAATGCATTTGTTATTAAACTGGACATACTTTTGGACGAGACATTTAAAATATTTAGGTTGGTATTCATGATAATAGAAACTACACTTGTGTACGTTAACAGATAAAATAAACTAATCGAATTCAAAAAATTAGACCAGAGAAACCTTTTCACTTTATGAATATACCCATGTTATTCCCACTTGAGTGATAGGAAAATAAATTCAAACAGAATTACAGTAATTATGAATTATAAAAAAAGAATGTTAGTTTTGTGATTTTTATAAACGGGAAGTGACACGATAGTAATATCGAATGAGTTACTTGTTAGAAAAATATGAAACCCGAAGGAAGAATCACATAGTCATAATTGACATGGGACCCTACAGAAATGTAGATCGACAGAATTTCCCACATCAAAACAGAATCCCCATTGCATAATTGTAGACATTACAGCAAGTTAAGGAAAGTATTTTACTTGTTAACAAATATGTATTTGAAGCATCGACAACATAAAATCTAGGTACTGGAAATTTTACCAGTACTGTGATAGATAAGTTGTAGTGAATGTATGTATGACTTAATTATGTACATAAAATAACCATCCAGTAACAGATGTTTGCATGACCTAGCCATTGTAGCGGCAGTGAAATGTCACTAGCCAAATCATCCGGAAGTTGGGTCACTGAATATCGAACACATTATCGATCCCTGTTAAAGACAAGGACAACAAAATGCGCATCAGTTAATCATAATCCATGGACTGGCTCATGCGGAGGTGGTCTCATTAACATCTCTGTACTCATTCTTACTAATAGATTTACGCAATAATGCTCCTTGTATTATACAATCTTCGACGCGGACATAGTACCTTAATACGTCGAATGGGGTAATCCACGTTTAATGCTGACCGCGGGGTGTGATTTCGAAGTTAGATTGTTCGTTACACCGTTCCCGTCTAACTCGAGTAAGCCTCCAATTATTCGACATAGATGGTCTACACTACTAATAATGATCGAAGCATATAAATAAGAAATCTAACCTAAAAAATCTTTACAGTATCTCAACTCCTACAAGTTGACAGTGACAAATTAACGAGAATCGGATGGTACTTTATGGGCATCTCCTATCTATAGCATTGAATTAAGGATATTGACAGGATCATGAGGAAGGAACTTTAAAGTTTGCAGAATCACTTAATTTTATGGCGTGTCCACATTTTTGGAAATAGGTAAGATTTCATGTTTAGATTAAAGGTTCTGACAGAGTGGAGCGTCACCTCAAACAGCGAGTTAGCGTCCACAACAACAAATCTAACAGACGACATAACTTGAGTTCCGATACTCGCTACATTCGTTTTGCCTGTTAAACCTCTCATGACAGCAAACTGTGCACTAATAACAATAATCATAACGTATTCCTACAAATGCAAAACTCGCAGTTTTTTGAATGCGCAAATAGTATTTAAGCATGCTTTATATTTACTTACCCTTCCGTCGATAATAGCAGAAAGGCACAGATAATCAAATATCTCAGTACATTGTCGCCAGACCATCGCTGAGCCGTACTTCCTCAGACATTCTTCATAAAATCCGTAAACCATTGTTATCTGCCGACTTTCATGGTTGCCTCGTATGAGTGTAATTCTGTCTGGATACCTGACCTACACAAATGAACACAAGAAAAATTATTTACCTTCAGTGCAAGGAGAAGAAGGAATGTCTCGACGCTGTGATATCCGCGATCAACAAAATCACCGAGGAAGAGATAGTTAGTGTCCGGTACATCTCCACCAACCTTGAACAATTCGATTAAATCGTAGAACTGGCCATGAATATCACCACATACCTAGGGATAGTTACTAAATCTAATGCAACTTACTGTAACCGGAGAATCTACGCACTGCACATTGCTTTCTTCAATAAGGATCTCCCTGGCTTTTGCACATAGAGCTTTTACTTCGTCTTCCGTAATAAGTTTACATGCCCTTAATTGTTCGATTTGACGATCAAGATCACTTTGACCAGACATCTGAACGTTGAAGACGCTTTACCCGCGTCAATTTTGAACTGAAAGGGGCTCTCTGGCCAATCCAAATTTCAATAATTAAACTTTTAGGTTAGTGCAGCAGTAAATAAATACATGAAATAAGTAGTTTCGTAAGTTTTCGACATTTATGTCAACCTTATTAGTTTTATTGGACACTCTGTAGATGAAGGTGCTCGATCACGTATTCAAGTCAGGTCACAAGTGGGTATGTTACGCTCGTCAGTTCAAACCTCAAAAGCAAAATTTATACTCCTCATTTTCTTAACGTTCCATGTGGAATCCAATTTTAATGCTTTCAGACCTAATGAAGGATATTTCACAACATTTCGATGACATTGTTCTGACCGAGAACTGTTTCGTCAAGTTGATATGGAGAGCTGACTGCTTATTTCATTATTCGTGTAACGACCGACAGGTCGACTTGTATCATGATCACCACCGACAGCTCACTACTTTTAGAAGCGATTAATTAATAAAAGGTGCAAACAAGGAAACATTTTTCGGAAATGTTCTGTAAAAATGGATAGATAATTATGTGACTAATATTTAAGTACGATATAACCAGGAGATACCTTGTAAAACTTAAGGGTATGTGGTACTATATCAAGCCCACACAGACAATTCTAGCTCCCGGATAGACTAATTCATTTATTTTTCTTCAGTCACATTTTGATCGATGATCAGTTCGATATTCAGTGACCCAACTGCCGGATGATTTGGCTAGGGTTCAGTGACATTTCACTGGCCCAACACAGTCATTCGCTTATTGAACTGGACTGTTTTTACATCAGCGTATGCGTATCCATCGCTCACCTCGATCATCATATCAGACTCACCAATTTTTTGACTTGTCGATATGACTCCAAACATTCAAAATGAAAGGCGGTAGGTGAGAAGCGAACCGAAGCGAACAGAAGTTTGCACGCTTGCCTTCTACCGTTCGTGACTTCGCTTCGTTTCTGATTTTCTGTCTGGACAAACGAGAGTACGAAATATACTGATCTCAAATTCATTCTCGTATTTGACTTATTTCATTCCATTATTCTCTAACTCCAATTAAGTTGATAATTACATACAAACGTTTACGGCATGTATATTTCGTAGACATCGTCGCTCGATCCATTTGAAGTCGGATCAACAGGCCACAAAAATTTTCCAGGATGAAGATGAAGTGATCATCGATAGTAATTATGTCACAAATGATTGAGCTCTTAGCAACGTTCATATGAACATCTAAGAACAATGGTTGCGCGGACTAAGAACAGAATTCTTTTTAGGAATGTCGGAAAGCTATGTTCACTGGAAAGTGCAAACATACGACAAAAAGTAAGTTAAAGGTTGAACGACGCTCCTAAATAACAATCAGTCGTGATTTGTGAGGGAATACAACGCGATTAAACTTACCAGGCCTCCGGTCACTATATCAGCTAATAAACTCGCCTTTTGTACAACAACTCCATGTTAGACCGGTTTGTGTCTTTTAGGGTATTTTACTTGTTTAAAGTCGCCACCATGAGGTTGGCATTAATTTATGTCCGATGGACTCAAAGGTTACCGCATGTGATAAAGGGATTGATCTGTTGTCTGCATGCATTAATTTATTATCACATTGTCGTTAATTACAGTCACTTTGGTCCTCACTAGTTTTTTTCCTTGCCACGCTATAACCAGATTCCGCATAAAGATCATGACAACTCATATATTCTGTACACTCAAGTATGTCAAATCTCGACGGATTTACCAGTACAGCGTTATCAGTAGGACTGAGGATGAGCAGTGTGTTATACAGGGCTTGGAAGTTAACTGTGATATAATACTCTAAAGAAAGCGATCGAACGAGTTTAGTTTCGTTGCGTTTGTAACAAGTTTATCCCTAATATAAATTCGCAAGCTTCATTACACTGCATTGATGCCTTTTTCGCCTGCTTTACTCTAAACTTTTAACCAAGCGACAGCAAAATCTGGCCTCACTGCAGGCGAACTCGTTCACAACAACAAAGTAAAATACAAGGAGAATCCATAGAACATTCATCTTCCTCAGCAGACATATAACTAAACTCCTGCACATGCCGGCTTATAAGCACCGGATGTTCAGTTTAACCTGCTCCCGATCGACCACGATCACCCTTTTTCCTCATCCGACCCTCCGTACTGTCTAGTGCACACGTTTTCGTGTCTCATAATCCATGACTCTGACCTTGATGGAGTCTTGTTCCCGAAGCTGGATGGTTTGGTTGTGGAGCATCCATCGTTCTTCTGAACGAAATCGTCAGCACAAACTTCAAGTACAAGTGCAATGTTCGAATTTCTTTACATGTGGTTTACAGCTTGTCCTTTACACCTAGGTGTTGATTGGTTCTTGTTGACCTTTAATCCGTCATTGTTTTGTTTGTATCTCCCATTGGTTCATGACTCTTATCATTTGATGCTGTGTATTGAAACCTTATAATGTTCGTAATGTGAACCTGAGCACTACATCGATAAAAATGGTAATTAAGATATCATAAGCATAGACTGTCTAAAATACTTTTACTTTAAAGACATTCTTTTCTCAATAGACCCTTCCACTACACAACTGAATTGAAGAATACACAAGATGACGACTCGACCGTCGATGTTTAACGACCACATGGAAACTCATCTGATATTAACTGGCCTAAAACAGAACGCTCTGGGAAATCCATGAGGTTTCCAGCATACGCAAACCACTGTCATTTGAAGATATTCTGACACATTATTCCTTTCTCTCATTTTTTTGTTCTACAGATAACTGGTTGCATTTTTTATTTTTATTTTGTCACAAACAAAACAGTTGTAATTATCTACTTTTGGTATGTTCAGATATATCTTCTTAAAAACTAAAATCAAGGGATTCCCAATACGCAGAGATGGATGGTGGCTAGCAGGAGAATACAGGACTCTCGTCTCGTCCCATTTGGGACTTTTCAGTCAGATGTGTTTGCATCTCAGATTTGGTATTCAGTCTGTGACTTAAAACACTATCAAGGCAATCAGCATAGGATGCGAGTACGCCTTGAACATTAGTGGAAGGATTAAAATAACCGGTGCCAAAATGAACTGGATTGTACGTATACAATTTAAAAGACGATCAAAAATCAAACCTTGCTGTGGAGGTAATTTCCACCTGTTATGCGGGTATCTACACAAGATACCCTCCCAGTGTTTATTCCACGGTATTTCGACACAACTCAGATTAAGAATATGTGACCGACCTGATAAGAACATAGGTATATTTCACGTCAACATCCGGCAACTTTGGCAATAATAATGAAGGTTGGAAGATATTTATCATATCTGATACCTGTCAGACTATCAATCAGTCTGACTAGTGAACGACCAGTCACTATTTTCTCCAACACAGCATTATTCTGATAAAAAATATCACAACCATTCTGAAACTTGTTGTATCTTAATATGGTCACTTGCAAATACAGGTCCAACAAGCTTCAGCAGTGAATAAGTCATCCGTTCATTTTTGTCATTGACGTGCATCTAATTAGTTTTAGTGGACACAATCCTAGCTGAAAGCACTCTATGATAATTAGAAGTATTTGAATTGTAGTATGAACTAGTAATTCCAGGAATAATGCAATTTAATCAAGAAGTATCAGATGAGCCCGAACGAATGTATTGTATTTGGAATTCAAAATTACAACAGTCATCCATACGAAGAAGTCATTGATTTATTTAAACATCACATCCGCCACAGCTCGAATTGGAGTGTAAGTGTCTGTAATCGATTGTTCGTCCTCTTCTTAAGTTCATCTTACATCTGTCCGACGGTGTATTGGATGTAGACTCTGTATTATCTAGAATGCACTCGTTAGTATTAGAATTAACAACCGAAATTGGAACAGACTCACCTGGATTCTGGTATTGTATTTGATCAACGTGTCGGTTATGTATGGTCAAGTCATTGATATCCAGAATTCGCACCATAGATTTTCCAACATTCTTCACCACGATCCCCGTGGCTGGTCGAAGATCATTACCACGATAATACGTAACTTCTGCAGACTCCAAACACCTCATATTCGAACGGAGAATTCTTCCTTTTAATAGCTTTGATGGAGTCTCTTTCGTCACAGAATGCTTAGCATTTCTATATTGAAGTAGAAATGTATCTACTCCCCTCTCCAGTTCATTGAATGTCGAAGCAGCAATAGAATCAATAGCAATTTTCAATGTTCTTACGAAATTTTCTGCCTGACCATTGGAACAAGGGTGCCTGGGAGCCGTAAACAGATGTCTGCACCCTATACCATTTAACCAATTAGTGACTGCATCTGCAGCAAAATGAGAGCCATTATCAGTCACCAACACCATGGGAACTCCTTCTCGACTAAACACCTTCCTTAATGCTTGAATTGTGAAGTCAGAATTCGGTGAAGTTGTGAAAAAAACTTCAGGCCACTTAGAAAAAGAATCAATAATTACAAGTGCATAGTATTTGCCAAGAAATGGACCACAGTAGTCTGCATGAATTCTCTGCCAGGCCTCAGACGATACTGGCCATGGAGTCCACTTCGAAGGCAGACTTTTTAGCTTATGACATTTCTCACAATTATTTGCTGTACGACATATATCTGCATTTATCTCTGGCCACCAACATGTGAGTCTTGCTAAGGACTTCATTTTCTCAACACCAAGATGTCCACTATGAAGATCATCAAGGACAGGTTTGCGTAATGAAGGAGGAATAACAACACGATCATTTAAACACAAAATACCGTCAGGAGTAGTAGATAACTCGTCCCGCTTTGAATAATAGACAGGAAATCTACGTTTCAGATTAGCATTCCAACCCTTCCGTATAGCACTGAGTATACATCCAAAGTATCTACGAGTTTCTCTAATGAGATCTGGACGTCTCACCGGTAAAGGTTGCACTAACAAGCAGTCTGAAGTATTAACAGGTCTATCTTGTAATGGTTGTCGAGAAATGTAATCAACGTGTTGAA